GATGATTCAATTGTGAGGGGCAATACTATTTCTCCTATAATAAAACTACTAAGGGAATCAGGAGCTAAAGAGGTAAGTTCATTTTTAGTCTGTATATTACACATTTAAGTACAAGATTGATTGGAGTGTAAAGCACTGGGTTTTGACTTCATTTGTACTACACATTTTTCCATTATTTAAAAGTGCAAGTGTGGAAAAAAAAAAAAAAAGAGAAGACTGGTGTGTGTTTTTGTCATGGTGGGTTGAAAAGTTTATTTTGTTTCTTTGGCTTTGATTTTTGGAGATTAAGGGGAGAGGAACATGTCTCCATTTATAAAGTGCTAACTGACAACTAGAATAGAAAACAGATTAGGTAAGATGAGAAAAAAGTGTTGGTGTATTTCTGCCACATGCATTAAATACATTCACATACTGCAGTAATCAGGAATGTGCTTTAAGTCATCAAAGCACGTTTGTTTAATTGATACAAATTTTTAACTGAAACTGTAAGCAAGTTTTTCACTGAAGCAGAAGTGTTTCATATGATGTTTGACTTTGTAAACTGAAACACCTGCATCAAGGATTGAATGCTATAGAAGAGAAGCAAAATCAAGACTGAACCTTATTGAACATTAGGAAATTATAATGATAAATTCTAAAATTATCTTTTTTCTCATCTTCAAATCTGAAAGTTATCTTACTTTTAAACATTCCATGGCTTTGATCAAATGCTGTGTTCCTTTCTTCATTATTATTTTGCAGAACTTGGACTTTTATATTTTATTACGATCTGCTGAACTTCACCTCATAGCACTGTCTTGAAATTGTGTTTTTATTCAGGTGCACATTCGTGTGGCTTCGCCTCCCATAAGATTTCCGTGTTACATGGGAATAAACATTCCAACAAAAGAAGAACTGATTGCCAACAGACCTGAATTTCATGATCTGGCAAACTACATAGGTAAAGGCGAGGTTTCTTTGAAAGATGGCTTTTACCTGCAAAGTATTTACTGCCTGCGTCAAAATAAAGAACGCATAAAGGCAAGAATGGCAAAACTGATAAAAAATCATAAAAGTTGACACGCTAAATATTGTGTGTTCCCTATGGTTCAAACCAATTTAGTTGCATATTTTATGATGCAGTTAATGAATTATATTTCTCTGACCAATGTAAACCATTAGAATAATTCGTAAGTTACAAATAAAGGCTAATAACATGTTTCCAGTACATTGAACTCCTTCTGGGAAACACTTGGTGTTGTTGTAGGCAAATATCAGAAAGAAAATAAGTGGTGAAAATCTGTTGTGTAATGAAAAACAAACGTAGTTTCACTTTATTGACATTCATAAAAATATATCCTGAATTTGTAAACACCCACTGATTTTTCTACAAATTTATGTTCTTGTAATTTGCATGACTTTGAAAGAAATGACATTTGAAACTAATGAAAGAATGTTAATTAAATACATTTTAAGATCTCTAGAGCAAGTCATGTTTACAGCAGAACAAAGAACCAGTAACTTAGTGTTGCTTGTGATGTGGTAAATAATGTGCTCATCATGGAGATAGCAGTAACAGAAACTGTGTGAAGGTCTGTGAGTGAGAAAATCCAGTATATGGCTTATTGTGCTGCAAAGTATTTTAAAAATGGTTTAAGAATATAGCTGTGGGTAGAAAACTTTAAATTCAGATTTCTTGTATAAATACTGTCCAATCTTAAAATTAATTCCTTTCTCCAAAATCATCACCATGAAGGCATGTTGAAATATTTCAAGTTTGTAGGATCTCGTATTTAAGAAGCATTCTTTCATAAAATAGTGGGTGTAAATGAAAAAGTGATTATGCGAAAAGCCTGTCAAACTTTTCTACTGCTACAACATTGTCATGAACTGAATACCGATTTTTTTTTTTAACATGATGTTCTTCTGCTCCTCCAAATTCCACAAAGGGTACTATTAGTAAGATGTTAGAAGTTAGGGAATTGAGTCACTCGTTACACCTGCTTCCAGAGCTGAAATGCAAAATAACTCTGTGAAACTCTTCAGAGTTTAGACAGTCTTAATACATACCCTGGATTCTGTTTCAATTTTTGCAGATCACAACTTAGAACCTCCTGTCTAGATTTCAGTGATTCTGCTCCCTGTACAAATAACTGGAGAAGGGCAAGGCTTGTTATGGTCTGATAATTTTTCATGACTATTGTCTATGTGAGGTGATTTACCTTGTATTGTAATCAATACAATAGTGCACTCACATTTTGTAAGAGCATTGCATTTGGAACAAAATCGCAGCTTTTAACCGATGAATCCTTTATTTCCTCTAGGGGCCGACAGTGTTGTTTATCTTTCTGTGGAAGGGCTCGTATCATCTGTGCAAGAAAGCATCAAAGCAAGAAAAGAGAATGAGAACAGTCTTAAAACCCAGAAATCGCGTGTTGGAAAGATTGGTCATTGCACAGCATGCCTCACTGGAGAGTATCCTGTAGAGCTAGAATGGTGAATTTTTAGTGGATGGACATTGGTTCATCCATTGATGAATGTACCTGTTTCAAAGATGCCTTCTTGCTAGTAGCCTTCTTACGTTTAGGTAATATGTAAAGCTTACCAGAGCTAACTGATTACTAACTACATCTTTATGGTAATGGCTTAGATAAAGCCTGTGCTGACAAAAACTATCTAAGCAAATTAAAATATAAAATCATATAGTTTTGAAGCACAGTTGTGCTTTCTATTTTCTCATAAAATATTGTAAAAACCAAAGTGTTTATAATTATTTACCGGTCCCAAAGCTTTTTGTTTCAGTCTTGCCCTGAATATGAGATATCTGTGTCAGATTTATTCACAGAGTTGAAGTACAAATTATAAATCATATGGTGTAATTTCAAATTATCAAAATAATTTTTCAGTACAAGGCTTGCTTCTCTCTTTTGGAAAAAATCTGAAGAGTCAAACTGCTTCCTTGGCAGTTTTTACTTAGATTTTTAAAAAATATATCTTACTAAATAGCCATTTATATATATAGCTAAATAGCATATAAGCTAAATAGCCATTATAAATCAAGCCCTTTGTAACTAAGTATCCAGATTCCATGAACATAATGTCTGGTACATGATTTTAAGAATGAACACTCAGGGAGATGCTAAGCCAAAAGCTTTCTATCTTTGTAACTTCAAAATTCTTTTCCGAAGTCCAACACGTATCTTCAGGTGTTTTCCAGTGGCCAATAGGATGTGGAAGGAGAAAAACACCTGGCACTGCCATTTTTTACTTTTTGTTTCACATCTTGTTTTCTCCAGGACAAGTCCTGACAATTTCTGCAGTCTGAATATTACTCAGTGTGCTCTTTCTATGTTAGCGTCCAAACTTCACTCAAAAATACAGTTACTTTCTTAACAGGAAGCGTGATATAACAACTGAAGATTGTGTTGTTTTGGCCAGACTCTTATTTTTACACATCACTGCTGTTAAAATAAATGTAATGTTTTAAAAGAAAGAGTTTTGAAGAACCATGAGTATTTAACTTTTTAATTGTATTAGCATAACATTTCTTAATTGGTCACAGTTAGTTACTTGTATCCATAACGATTGTTTCAAAATGAACCACTAGCTGAAGGAGAAAAGCACCTTTTGAAACTACTGCAAATGAATGCACAATTGTAAAAAATATTTTGTATACCTGTGTTTTTTCACAAAGTACCAGCAACTTAATTTTAGATTATCTATTTAATATTGTGTATTTTGGCCTTACAATTGCATGTGACACCACTACAAAAACAGAGAAAAATAAAAGTTTAAGAGCTTTTTTCTTCCCCATCTTGCACAGTTGAGAATTGCAGCACTGGTCATTATATAAAAAATTGAGCTTACTCAGGTGGAATTTGTGCCTGATACATGATCACAAAAGTCTCAGTTCAAGAAAGGATGTAAATACTTTCAAAAGACCGAGCCTTGTGGAGGTTCTCTGAAATCAGAACCTACTTGCAGTAAAGCTAATGGGAAAATCTACTTTATTTTGAGAATTGCACTCTTTGTGGAAGTCCAGATCTGCTTATTGGGTGAGGTATATGGATCTCTTCTATTTAGCAAGTGTTTTTCTTTTTTAACAGTCCTATTACTCAGACAGCAAAGTGAGCAAAAAAGGAACTGGATGCAATCTCTCTGACCTCCACTCTTCCACACTATGAGGGAGAAGTGTGAGAAAACTGAGAAACTTGAGCATTTTTTGCCTTTCTTCTCCTTCAAAAAAGCAAACATTTTTGAAAGGATAAATCAAGCTCTTGTGTTAGATGCATGTAAGAAGATGAAACCAGTCGCACAGTTTAATACAGTTGCAAGCAGAATTCAATCCATTTGAAGTTATCTTGTAGAACAGATTGAAAGTTATGCAAATAACTTTTAACAAACTTTCAACAAGAGTGCTATTTTTACATGTGGAAAGAACTGTTTAAATGTGATTTGAGCATCAGGTGGCGTAAATCTGATTTCAGTGAGTCATAATCCCATTTTTCTCCGTGAAACGCACGACATTACAGAAGGACTGCCATCGTATGCCCCGTAACTTTTAGTTACACTGCATGCCTCATTTTAAGGATGCATGTTTTAAAATTAAAGAATGCTTTTCGAGAGCCACTTTATTCACTGAGCAGTGAGGAGGTTACTGGGCTTCTCGTGTATCACATACAGCAGGTTGCACACGTGCTGTCAAAGCTTTGAAGGGAAGAATTCCTTTGGTTCTAGGCACTGCTACCACGTGCGACATTAAAAATGGTGAACGGTTTTCTTGGAAACGGTTTTCTTTCTACACAGTTTTTCTGGCACCATGCCTCGGAGATATCTTTAATAAAATCACCCTGAAAGAGCTCTCGGGCATGGGATAAATCCATTCGGGTCTTACGTTAAACCCCCTCCTCGCGGCAGCGTTTCAGCCCAAGCGCTCCGCTCCAGGAACGCCGTAGGACCCCTACGGCTCTCCGTACCGTCCTCCTGGGGGAGGGGGGGCGGGGTGAGTGGCCTTGCGCGGCGGGGCAGAACTTTACCCTTTGCTCCGGGGACCCTGTGTTTGATCTTCTCCCCTCTGCCTAGCACGGCTATAGCACTCCCCCTCTTCTCGCCCGCGACTAAAATGGCATCACCCACACCCGCCATTGCGATCTGGGCGCCGCTTGCTGATGTACCAATAGCGCGACAGGTGTTGACCAATGAACGCACGCGTTACTAGAGAGCGGGCCGGGGTAAAAGAGATTCCACCAATCGTTAGCGCTATTCTTTGGTTGCTAGGAGACGGTGAACGGATGGCGCTGGGTGTTGCTGGAGGGCCCCGGCAGAGGTGGGTCTCGTGGTATACGGGCCGTGCTGATGGCGCCTGTGGTCCCGGCGCGGCTAAGTGCTCCGGGACGGGCCGTGCAGGGCTGTGCCTGCAGCGCCTGGAGACGGGGAGGGCTGGGAGCGTGGCGGGATGTGCAGGGCAGCCTGAACGCCGAGCTCTCTGCCTCGCGTTTGGGGTGCGGGCAGTCAGGAGGGCCCCGCGGTGCAGGGAGCGATACAGACCAAACTATCCAGTCATCGGCGCGGTGGATTTTCTACTTGCAAAGAAAATAAGGTTATTTCGCAGTACTACTAAAGAGAAAGCTATTAGTTGATCTGTGTTACCAAAATTCTTAATTTGGTTATGTCCAGCTTCAAAAACAGAAGCTTAGCGATGAGCACCCTCTGCAATCAGTCACTACATGCATTTCCAACCTGGTGCCGTCCCCCGCGCCGTCATGGCAGCCATGTGTGGGTGAAACCACCGCATGGCGTAGCTGAAGCTACTGCCAATGAGCGTGTGCGGTTTGATGCGTTGGCTAAACGCAGCCCTGTGAATGGAGAAAAATGTGCAGCTGTGCTTTCCATTCTGATAAAGGAATTTGAGAATGGGTTTCAAGAGTGCCGAATATATATATATATATTTTTTTTTTTTGCGTGTGTCACTTATTTTCAGTTGATATAAGTATGTTTTCAAATAGAACACATAGACTTGCAGTCAGAAATCTGACCATGTCTCCTTACCAGACTTCTGTAAGCCCGCTCTTACCACAGAAGTGTCCCTCGCTTGACAGTCCCTTGCTTCACAGTCATGCCTTGCGTTGCTGTTCATACATTTGTAAACAACTGTTCTCATGGATGAAGCACAGGAAGGGTGAAATTTAATCAAAAATCTCTGATGAGCACCTTGAGAACTCACTGAAAATTGTTAGCACTGCCATTGAACCTGCCTGATGCACTAGCTTCACAAAAAAAAGCTCACGTATCCTGCTGTTTTTATGGTTTAGTTGCGTTTTTCTTTTTGTTTGTTTTAATAAAAACATTAAAGATTAAGATGAGTTTTGTTACTTAATATATATTAACTATGTTATATGAGGGCTCTCAGAAAGTAACGCCTCCTATTTTATGGTGATGTCTCACAATGTCACAGTCAGATATTGGTGGTATGGCAATAGAGACTGAACCTTTCCTCCATTGTCCTGTTCCATTTGTTGCTGTGTGGCAGATGGTGACAGAGGGGCAGTCAGACAAAATGACATCTGACATGGAAGTGCATAGGAAGAAAAGGGTTAGAATTAAATTTCTCCATACAGAAAAAACAGCATTGACACTTGGTGAATGTTAATGAAGACCAGACAGTCTCCATTATGTGAGCACAGTGGGGCAGTGGGTGGTGTGGTTCAGCAGTGGCGATGGCAACAGTGGTCATCACTTCTGCTGGCACAGATTTTTATAAGTATGGCATGCACACTCTTATTCATTGCTGGCAAAAACGCATATAGCTCATGGTGACTCTATGTAGAATCATAGAACAGCTTTGGTTGGAAGGAATCTCAAAGATTGTCTAGTTCCAACCCTACTGCTGCAGACAGGGTGGTGGTTGTAGAAAAACAATGCTTCGTAGTTGAGAACTTGCTCTGTTAATAAATGTTATCATGCTCTTTGTATTGATTGTAGTTTGGAAATAAATAGGAGGCATTACTTTCAGTGCAACCTACGTATAGTGGTCCAGGACAATCCCACTTCACTCGGTGCAGCCTAGGCAATCCAAAAGGTTGGACACCTGTAAATTAGTGAGTTACTCCTCGCCCTTAGCATGGGAGCTGTTGTAAGTGATAGAAGTATCAGGTTTTGCATTCCAGTGGTGAAATGTGTTGTGATAAAGGATTGTGCTTTCTGTTCAGAAGTTGGTTTTTGAATTTTTCCTGCTTGGCACTGTTCTGTGTACGTAAATGTATGTAAGTCATTTTATTAAAATATTATAAGTCGGGAGATGACAATGCACTCTATGTTAATCTTTCAAGGGGAGCTGGAGAAGTGCAGCAGAGATGACTCTCCATGATATGGTGGCTGAGGCAGCCAGCCTGCACTCAGGTAGAAAAGCTGTTTGGTTTGATGAATGCAATGATGGACCTCCAACTTTCTACACATATGCAACAGTGATTAAACATGCCATGGAGTTAACAGCTTTCCTTCAGAAGTACTGTGATCCTCAAGGAAGGTGTGAGATAGGCCTTTACTGCTCTCCTGGAATAAACCTACCATCTTGGATCTTAGGGTAATGTTTTGAATACTTGCATTGTGTTGTATTTTTAATGTTTATCTCCATTAAAGCAAACTGCAAGTTTAACATTTTTAATATCAACAAAAATGCTGTAATGCTATTGTAATACCACTGGCAGTAACTGCTAGTTGGCTTTGGTGCTGCTGAAATGCTACAATTGCTGGTTTTTTGTTTTGGTTTTATTTTTGCCTTTGTTGCATTCCTTAACAGTCTAGAGGCACTGGAGCCTCAGATTCTTATGAGAAGATTATGGTATTACAAATCAGTCTTTGAAAAGTCAGTGCCAGAGGTTTTTGAATCTTAAGTTCACTGGTCTAAAATGTGACTTGGTTAAGTATGTTTATAGAAATACAAACAATTATTAATGACCAGTATCTTTATTCTTGTTTTAAAATGGAGTTGATTTATCAGAATAAATATCCGGCGCAAAACAAATATGCAGATTTGTAATGTTTTCCTCTTGTCTTGCTAGCAAAATATATGAAAAGAAATCTCATGCTTTAAGCTAAATGAGTTTACGGATGCAGTTTCATTACAGGAAGGTTGTAGGAGAAAGTAATTAGCAATGCAGCACTAAAGAAATACTGATTATTTAATGGGAAGGAAATGGAAATGTTTGTGATCTCAATGTTAATTCAGCAATTTTTAAATCTTAGTGTTGCTAATGAATAATAATATTTGTATCCTTGTACCTGTTACACTTACAGTGTAGTACAGTACCTCATCACCATGAGCATATTTTCTTCAGCAGATGAAGCAGCATCTGTGCTTCTCTTAGGTCTGTATTTTCTTCTGTCACATTGCACCTGAATACACAGTAGCACAAGAGCATACATCACAGCTGACTACAAGAGATCTCAGTGAAAGGAGTGCTGTAATAATAAACCTTCCAGGTGTGCTGACGAACTGCTTCACTACTAACGGAAACCCTTCTCTAGTGTGGCAGCAGAGGAGGTTTCCCAGAGAAGTTGTACAGGCTCCATCCACTGGGACTTTCAAGGTCTGCCTGGAGCAAGTCCTGCACAGCATGGCCTGCTCTCACAGCTGACCCAGCTTGAGGTTGCCTCGGGTCCCGTCCTTCCTTGCTTACCCTCTGTCCCAACGCTCTGAGCAGCCACACAGATACCTTTTGTAATGTGACTGGAAACTGACAAGGCACTTTGGTTTATCGATTCATTTATTTAGAGCTCTAATTGCTGAGTAATTAACTGCTGTATATAGTGCAGGGCAGGCCTGAGTGCTTATTGATTCCAGACGCTGTTCAAGTATGCAGAAGGCTGCAGTTTCCAAGCCTTTGTTCAGCATCTTGTCATCATTACAATGATGAATCATTTGCATGAGAAAGTATATCTAATTGGACATGAGAACCCAGCCTTAGATGAAATGCTAAAATTTATGGGAGCTGTTCCTGTTTTAGTTACTGTTTTGTTCTGTAGAGTAATAAATTCAAATGCTTGCCTTTATCAAATTGAGCCTCTAGAGGGAGTGATTGCAGTGTACAACTGTTGCAGAAAAAAGGGACAAGCTAAGGTGCAGTGAATGACACCAGAATGATACTCAGTGTTCCTCTGTTCATTAGGAATGAAGTTCTGGTACACACTCAGAATTTTCTCACGCCAGACTGTTTAGTGAGAATAGAAGCTGTACTCAGTGTGCTGCTGTACACGTATAAATGAATGTTTGTATTTCTGTTCACAGTCAATAGCGGAAGCTTTGAAATTGTGCTGTTGATGTCAGTGCTACCTTTGTCACTGCCAACCTGCTTGGCAAAAAGAATTTTGAATGTTTTTGTCTAGCTCTAATCTTTTTCCTCACTGTAATATGGCAAAAGGCAATACTGATTTGCTTCATATTGTATTTCTAAAAAATATTTGAAAGTCATGTTGTGACTACATTTTCTGACTCTGGGAACTATTTACAGGGAAAAAAAAAAAAAAAAAAAAAAAACTGAGTGAAATTTAAGTGGATTTTTCTTAGTTTTACTATTATTAATTTATTTAAAACATTTTAAATTTTGTCTTGTTAGAATCCTGCAGGTTCCAGCTGCTTACTGTCCTATTGATCCAGATGCCCCACCACTGTTATCTACTTACTTCATGAGGAAAAGCAATCTTCAGTATATTCTTGTTGAGAATGACAAAATAAAAGTGAGTGTTCAGGCTTCCAGAAAAAGCATTGAAGCACAATTTAGAAATGTGTAGCTATTCAGATTGTATTATGTTCATATAAGCTTTGTTGAGCTGGTTTAATTCCTTCATGACAAAAGTCTTTAAGTCAGAATGTCTTCAAGATTAGAAGCAGAAAGTATTCTTCCTTCATTCAAAAAAATTACCTGTTTGTTTTTACAATACTGTCCAGGTAAACTTGATGGGCAGTGACTTTCAAAGACTTCTCCACTCTTGTTTCTCCATACGTCAAGATTAGGAGTTAGAAATCTTCACAACAGTTGAAAACAGTTGCTGCATGTAATGGTTTAGTTGTCTTCATCTTCTCTCAAATCCAGAACCCTGACTTATTGCTAAGGCAGTAGACAAGACTGGACCACACAGTTGTAATGTGGGGTGCTTCGTCTTCTCTGAAATTCTCTTGGATGTTTTCACCTTTTATTATTTGCTCAGATAATTGATTTCTCATTTATGAATTCTGTGTTTATTTAATACATAAGTATATATGAGCTTAAAACTGCTTGGTGTGTGTTCTCCAAAAGTAGAAAGGCAGATTTGTGAAAAAAAGTTTCATATTTTATTACAACAGTAGAGCAACAGTGCAGTCTGAGTTCTGCTGTTTAAACTGTTCATTTTCTTTTACAGCAATTCCAGACATCCCATGTCGGTTGGTTGTCCCACAACTCTTCCACAATAGAAAGTATTGGTTTAACTCTCTTCCAAATGAGTTGGAGCAGTACTGATGTTGATTTGCAAGCAGACAGTGTAAAAAGTAAATTTGAAGCTTTCAAAGTTATGGATAACTCACAGCTAGGTGCTCTCTGCCCAGAGCACCTGAAAATAAAAACATCGGAAGGAAGACACAAGGATGTTGGCCAGAAATGCTCTTTAGCATACATCTTGCATACATCAGGAACTACTGGGACCCCCAAAGTAGTTAGAGTGCCTCATGCATGTATAGTGCCAAATATTCAGCATCTTAAGTAAGTGTGGTTTCTATGTTTTCCTTTAAATGTTTCTACAGATTTGATGTTTGGGAACTCTTTCAAACACTAAAGAGAGGTGTGCGTTTTTTCCTAACACTGCTTCGCTTCCTCCTTCCCTCACTTTTCTGATTTCTTTGTGTTTGTTTCTGTTGCTTCAAAATAGTATCATAAGATCTTGTTTCTCATAATGCTGTGTTTAATATTTAAATGGTGCTTTACCTGAATTTTTGAAGAGTGTACTTCAAATCGTATTATACTGTTGTTTTAAGTATTTTATTGCTGATTTTCTGCTTAAAAGAAGTAGATAACAGTATTAATTATTCACAGTTAAATTTAATGTGTTTTATGGTTTTTAAAACCTAATTCAATTTTAGGCTATTTGTATATATTTGTACATTTGTTAGTTTAATCAGTAGTTCATGTCTTGTTATAGGACCTTTTGCTTAAATTGTCTGGTCTGTATATTAAGGTGGAATATGCTTTAATATTTACTGTAGTCTGTAATCCCTTAGTATTGCTAAAGTGAGACATCTGTTTCATGTTCTTCCACTCTGCTCTTCTAGTTTGGAGTTGGTTTTTTTTTTTTTTTTTTTTTTTTAATTAAGGTGCGTCATATTTGTAATTCCTGGCTTTCTGTTTTTAGATCAATTTTTGAGATCACCCAGGAAGATGTGCTGTTCTTGGCTTCTCCTCTAACGTTTGACCCATCTGTGGTCGAATTGTTCATTGCTCTGACAAGTGGAGCCTCTATTCTTATAGTACCAAATGCTGTTAAAATGATGCCTTTGGAGCTGTCTACTGCCCTGTTTAGCCATCACCATGTGACAGTGTTGCAGGTAGGCAACAACTGAGTGACTGTTTGCTGTGTCTTATTTCTCACTTCTGCTAATGTGTGTTACTTGTTTCAGCAGTCTTAACAATAATGACACTGGTGTTCTTCCTGAAGAGAGCAGACTGTGTTACTCTTTTTGCAGTAAAATATTAACTGTTCAGAAAATTACCTTCTGATCAAGGCCTCAAATATCTTGCAACATAAAGCAATGAACGGAAGATAAAGCCAGCATTCATCTTAAAAATCCATTAGTTCTTAAGAGTAATTACATTACGGAGTAATCTGTTAAAAACATCTACATCTACTTAGCATCTTATAATGGGTTTCCTTTTTGAGCCTCACTTCATAAACAGTTTTAATATTAGTATCTACCCTAAAAATACAACAACTAAAACAGTGCTGTCTATAGGATGTTAAAACGCTTATTGTTTCTACAATACTGAGAGAAAGAGAGAGAAGAAGAATCACTGATTGGTCTGATAATTCCCCAGCAGTACTTCTTGTTTTCAGGCCACCTGCTTATATGAGGTGTTATTTGCCCCTTCTCTCTTGGAATAGCTCTCGTCCTATATGATCGCAGTTGTAAAAACTTCAAAGTTAATTTTTGGAAAATTTACCTGAGTTTATGAGCATTCAACTTGGCCAAATAAGCCCAGTGTAAAAACATATTTCATAAAAATATTAACTGATAATAGAAGATTAAATCAGGGGGAAGAATGGCTAAAACAGATCTCACTTGTAATTGGCTTTGGACAAAATTGTAGTTTAATTTATTAATTCTGACACAATTAATGAATAATTTGCTGAGGACGCTACAGCAGAAATAAAACTATGAATATGCTGTGACTTTATTCCCTGCTTTTGTTTTGATTTATTAAATTGCTATAAATCTTGATGGTGTCCATTTCCCTCTACAGAAGAACATAGGGGCTGATAGCATTCATTCATGCAGTCTTACAAAACACCAGCATGATCTGTACTGACATCTGATGGTTGATGCCATCTATGGTTAGGTAGATCTGCAGTATAGGTGAGATATCTACATATGATAAAGGTAAAGAAAGAGTACACACGTACTGAAATAATGTACAGTGGTTTCTCTGTTATGTTTTTGAATATGTATCATCTAGGCAACACCAACACTTCTCAGAAGATTTGGAACTCACATTATTAAATCAACAGTATTGTCTGCAAACACTTCGCTCCGAGTCTTAGCCCTTGGTGGTGAAGCGTTTCCCATACTGAACCTTGTGAAGAGTTGGAAGCACAGGGAGAACAAAACAAGTATTTTTAATCTGTATGGTATAACTGAGGTTTCAAGCTGGGCCACTTGCTACAGGATTCCTGAAGAGGTTTTTAGTGCTGATTTTAGGTAGGAAATTTCAGTTTTCATGGCTTGTGTGTAAATGATGAAAATCAACGGAATAGAACCTGCCCAGGGCTACAGAGTCCTTATAGGTGTTTGTGTTGGTGGAAGTTACATTTGTGTACTTGTATTTCAATCTATCCACTGATTTCTTGCTCTAATACAGCCCTTTCAAGAAGAAGTTGTTGGGTGACTCTTGAACCATAAAACTTCAGTCTGAGAACTTTCATACTTGTAGCACTGTTTTTTTCACACAGTGTTTCATGGTGGTCTCTGTTCCAGTCATCTGTATGTAGACCTCTTCTGCTTTCCATCCTGTGTTCCCACGTGCTGAGCATGAACAAGCTTAGGTTGGGGTGTGCTGCTTCTGGTATTTGCTAGCCATAACTTCAGTTAGTCCTACTCTTGCTCGTCAGGAAGCTTTTCCAGTGAGATCTTGCATATTCAAATAGAGGAAGCTTAGCAGAACTATTATGGGAGTTTGAAAAAAAAAAAAAAAAAAAAAAATTTAATGAAGCTCTTAGACTTAATCGTAGGCTTAGAATGAAGCTATGTTTGTAGCTTAGGTCTGCCAAGGTCAAACTGTTACTTCTGAGGTTTACTTACTTGAAACAAAAATAGTCAAAGGTGGACATTGAAATCCGGCTCTCTTTAGTGGAGCCCAGTGAAAGGACAAGGGTCAACAGGCACAAACTGGAGCACAGGAAGTTCCATACAAACAGAAGGAAAAACTTTACTTTGAATAAGCACTGGTACAGGTTGCCCGGAGATGTTGTGGAGACTCCTCTGGAGGCATTCAATACCTGTCTGGACACCTTCCTGTGTGACTTACTGTAGGGAATTGCTAAAGCAGGGGGTTGGTCTTGATGTCATCTCCAAAGGTTCTTTCCAAATCATATAATTATGTGATTCTAAGTGTGTTTCTTAGAGATAGAGGGCTTTTACCTATGGTTTTTTGAAACTCCACAGATGAAGAGATGGAGACTAGTTACTGATTTTTATTTTTTCTGACATTGGATAATGTACTGCAGCAAATGATCCCACTGATGTTACTTGGCAAGTACCAAGTACTGAAATTGTACAAAGTGAGACATAAGATCTCACAGTCATTTCACGTGTACTTTGAAAAGTAATTTTCTTTTCATCATTTAGCACTCTGCCATCTTAACTCTACTAAAGACTTTGTTCATTGTATTTCATAAAGAGAGTTGAACGAGTGTTGAGGCCAGTTAGCTCCGTGTTTCATTTGCTTCCTGAAGTGTGTAATTATTCCTTGGCATGACAGTTATACATGTGACTTGAGGTAGGCATGTCTGAAACATCCCATTTCATAGGACAAGTGATGTGATATTTTAACCAGGTACTTCAACTGTTGAAGAATGAAAATAGTAGATAGCCAGAAACTAATTTTCCTGCAAAACTCCTTATAAATAAGTAAGGAGTTTTCTGTGGAAGCAGTGTAATATGTCCTGTTATTAAATATCTGCTATGCAGAAAATGTGAGGTCTTCTGCAGCACTGACATTTTCTGATTCTAGTATTATGTTCTGATTTCTTTGAGTTCAAATGTTACTGTCTCCTTTCTGAAGCTGTTCTTTCCTACTTCTTGTCTGTGCTGCAGAGATAATGTGTTGTTTTTCTGTTTGAACTAAGGTAGAATTGGAACATTTGAAAACTCCTATAGTCTGTGATTGTTATCTCCCCCATTTCACATCACAGCCTGCTCCCCCTAAGGGGTAAGCAAGTAAGCAGTCCAGAACAAAACCAGGACACATGGTTTTATGTCATCTTTTCTTCTTAGTATCGGTAGGACAATTGGAGCATAGTGCATTGTTATTTTTGCTATCTGTATAATGAAAACTGGTGCAATTTCTAAAGAGCACTAGAAAATCAAACGATAAGCAGAAAAGTTAGCACGTTATTGGTCTGCCCTGCTCTGCACCACTGCCCTTTTTTTCTATATATTTAGCAAAATTAAATGTCTAATCCCAAGACTCTTAATAATAATGTTCAAGTGAGGTGCAGTTTGTCTTCTGTTTTTGCTCTTTTATAAAAATTTAGAAATCTTGTTCTTAATTGTAGATGTAAAAAAAATTCTAGTATTGCATTTCTGGCAGCACTTTGCTGTGGCATGGGATATACTGAATATCAGGGATGCTTTCTCAAGCTTCTCACTTGGCAAAAATAAAAAATTTGGCTGCATTTAGCTCAACGTGGGATAAAGAATTCATTGACTGAGCAGAGAAGGAGAGGTTTCAACTGCCCAAATAACAGGGTTTGAGCAAGAGCGTTTAAGAGACTTTATGATCAAAGTTGATCTGGAACCCGTACGTAACTTCATGTGTTTGCAAAGTTGTTTCAAATTACTTTTTCTTAAATTTTACTTTACTGAAAAAATCTGTTATGCTCTACTCAGCTGTACTCACCAATACAATATCAGTAATCACAAAGAATTAAAGCTCAAACTATAATGGGGAAAGAATGAATTAAAAAGCCGTCAGGTGTTTAAAATAGTTGTGCTTGATGGAGGTTTTACCTCAGAGGCTTAAAAACTGGGTACTGTTATGGGATTTTTGGATCCATTTAAGCCTTATTTTCTGTCATTCTGTGGAATGGGTTTTGTTCAGTTTTTGTTTGGTGTGGTTTTTTTTGTGTATGATCATGAAACGCATGTGTGTTGACAAGATTTTTCATTTTGAACAAATAGTTTTTGAGAGATAATCTTTTAGAAGCTTATATGTGAAATCATTCTTGTGTTCAATCATTTGTGTTCAGAAAGGAAAGATTTGTGCTGTTTCTCTTTATTATACTTAGAACTGATTTCCCTGTCCCTTTGGGATCACCGCTCCTTGGAACAACGGTTGAGATCAGAGATGCCAATGGTTCTGTGGTTCTAGAAGGCGAGGGACAAGTATTTATAGGTTACTTTATATTTTTTTTAATTCTTCTAAGATATTTTTCCTAGTTGAATTTTAATAATGTTATTTGTTTGTTCGTTTGTTTTTGGTGCCTGCTTCTGCTAAACAGATTAGAGTAACATTGTAAATCCCCATTGGGCTGGGGACCTTCTGATGGTATTTTACATTGTTGGAATGATGAACAGGAAATGATCACCATTTTAGCTGCAAACAGGTTTCATTGTACTGATATATTTTTTTTTCCTGCTTGCGTTTTGAGTCAGCTGAAGTAGTTTATATGTATTAATTGAATTAACTCTGTTGCCTAATATGTGCAGTGTAGAAGTCTAGACATTGATAAGAAACTTCTGATAAAATACTAAATATTTCATTAATTACTTCATTTACTGATAGACATCTAATAATGACCACAGTCTTTTCTTTATAGGTGGTGAAGAACGCATCTGCTTTCTTGACAATGAGATAATTGTACCACAGGGCACAATGAGAGAAACAGGAGATTTTGTAAGAGTGCAGAATGCAGAGATATTCTTTTTGGGTCGGAAAGACAATCAAATTAAACGTCATGGCAAGCGTTTTAATATTGAATGTTTGCAGCAGGTAACATAGCATCTTATGAACAGAGTATGCCAGTATGAAAGAGCAGGGATAATGTACAAATCATTATCATCAAAAATCAGTATGTATTCATTTTCAGAAGATCTTTTGGAGTCTTAAGGAAGTTTAGAGATTGTATTATCGAAAATGTGATTATTAATGTACCTTAATGTAGGTACTTAAAATGGAGAAGTTTGGCTCTGAATTCTTATAATTCTGTCTTAACATGGGCTTTATTCCAATAGAATTGAGATCTCTGTATAGATCTAAAAAATAATGCATGTTGTGTTTCCATGCTCATACAGTCATTGTTCCACAGGACTGAATGTCAGATCTCTCTGCAGGGCTCCATGAAGGAGTCAGTAGCTCCTCTCCCTTTTAGTATCATCAGCAAACATACTCAGAATGCATTCAGTTTCTGCATGCCAATCATTTGTTTTGAGGATTAGTTTCTAAATAGGAATAAATTTTAAAATATATATTTTTTTAATTTTCACTGATTGCTTACAATTTCATTTTTATATATTTTTTAAAATGTTATTAAAGCCATTCTTTTTTAAAGTAATGCATAACCAGATGGGATTTTGACTCATTTAAGACACAATAAGAGACCTAACAAAAGCATTTCTTCCAGGCTTTTACTCAGGAAAGTTGTTTAGATAACTGAGAAGTACGCTGTAAAGTAGCTCTGCTGGTTTCTCTGCGTTCATTCTTTATGGTGTCTGACCAGAATCATTTCTATCTAAGTTAATGCAAGTGAAGTGCCAGTGGTTATGTAGGAATCAGAGAAATGCAAATTTTAAATGGGTAATTTTTAAAGTAATTTGTGTTTTTTACTCCTTGTGCTCAGATGAACTATAATTTCAAACTATATATGTCTATTTTTAATTACAGGCTGCTGAAGATCTTTGTCAGGTAGAAGCTTGTGCAGTAACCTGGTATCAGCAGGAAAAACTTATCCTATTTGTGGTTCCCAAGGGTGATTTAGAAGAGAGAGAAATTCTTCATGAACTCCAAAAACATCTGCCAGCTCATGGAATTCCTGATGAGCTTGTACAGATTAAAACTTTGCCTTTAACATCACATGGTAAATGACGCTTTAAGTATCCTTGCCTCCTTGCTACTTACTTTAATAATTGTCTTTCTGTTCTTGATTTTTTTGTGTTCTTGGGTTTGTTTTTTTTTTTTTTTTTTTTTTTTTTTAAGTTGACCAAAATCCAGTCATGCTTTTTAAACACATAAATCAGACAACTAACTCCTCTTAGGAAATCAAGGCCATCTGTCATGTGTGTTGGATAATGTTTCATTCAAGATTCAAAAAGAAGCAGCAGAATCAATTTAGTATTAAAATTGCACACTTGTTTTCTCCACTGCTATTGTCACAGTCTGCGACAGAGCCGTGACTTCACTTGGAGAAAGATCAGGAACTGAAAATGGGATTATGTGGGAGGCTAGGGTGAATGTTCAAAAAATCTTATTGGATTCTGTTGAGTATATTTGATTGACTGGATTAAAAAATAGTGCAGTCGAGTATTAATAAGGAAGCCAGTAAAAGACTAAGATGACTATTTTGGTAGAGAGAATTTGGGAAATGTAAATGCAGAAGAGCAATTAAAAAAATCACACTTTATTTTCCACCAAAGGCAAAGTTGATATATCTGAACTGAACAAGATTTACCACTACCATCTAAGATCCAGAAGGCGTGACAGTAAGCTGAGTGGCGCAGAGGAACTGTGGGAAAGATTGCAGTATTTATGGAAGGTAGTATTTTGAGCTGCCTTTTTATCTTTGCAAGTGCATCATTATACATGTGTCAGGAATTAAACACTTTAAGAAGTATGACTAATGCAACCAGAACATTCTAGCTGCCTATACATTCAAGTATTATAGCTCCTTCTGTTCAGTTAATACTTGAGTACAGTTGCTCAGTAACGGTCAGGAGGGAGTAATTTATGTTTCTGTATCAGATAAAACTGCAGAGTATGAAGGTATAAGAAATTAGCAGAGGAAAGCTGTAATCTGTCAGTAGCTTTTTGTATGCTGCTTCGCTTACCAAGTAAGATATCCCTAAGGGAAACAGGGAACTGGGATGTGGAAATTTTGTACAAAATAGCTACTGTGTCAGTAGAGTTTCTAATTGCTAAAAATAACTGTGAATTGGAGAGTTTTGTTTTTCTTTTAAATAGGTGGCACAGTTGTGTAATTGTCTGTTGAGCTGTTTGGTTGTATTGTTTCTAAATTTCTGTGCTGAAGCCTTGTTTTTCAAACTACTTAGATATAATACCAAACTGTAATATTTTTTCAAAGGTAGACTTTAGCTTTTCACCTGAAAGTGGGATTTGCTCCAACTAGGACAGGAATAAATAAAGATAGAAAGAAGTTGGTGAAGTAATTGGATTTTCTTGTGCTGATACTGAGCTGTGACAATGGCTATAAAATTACACCCAGTCGGATGGGATGTGCTCTAGACTGAGTTTGAACTGTAGAAAGCAGCTTCCAAAACCAGAGGATTTGGGGCTCTATAACCAGACTTAAAGAACAGAGAGTGCAGTGACAGGAGATTGTATTAATTGTTCTTTATTGTAATAACAGTGCTCAATCCAGAATCCTTCACAAATTGAAAGGACTTCAAAAGTAGATAGAGAAGTAGGTTGCTTAAATCATTCAAAAGCAGAATATACTGCTTTATATAAATTTTATTAATAAAATGAAGCATCTCAACCAATTTTATCAAAACGATTTGTAGTTTAACCCAGCAGGCAGCCAAGCACCACGCAGCCATTTGCTCACTCCCACCCAGTGGGATGGGAGAGTGAATCGGACAAAAACATGAGTTGAGATCAAGACAGTTTTATAGGACAGAAAATGAAGGGAAAATAATACAAGAATATACAAAGTGAGTGAACACAATGTAGTTGCCCACTGCCTACCAACTTAAGCCCAGCCAGGCAGTAAGCAGCAGCAGTTCTCCCACAGCAAGCCCCTCTGGTTTTATTGTTCAGTGTGGTGGTGAACAATGGGGCAGCAGTCAGCTATCTGGTGCTGTCCCCTCCCAGCTCCTTGTGCATCCTCTGTCCCCTCCAGCACAAGAATTTGAAACATCCTTTTATCTGTGTAAGTGCTGCTCAGCAGCAACTAAAACATCAGTGTGCTGTCAACACTGCTCTCATACTAAATCCAAAACACAGCACCGTCCTGGCTACTAGGAGGAGAATTAACAATTCCAGCGAAAACCAGGACAGGCATCAACATCTTAACTGACAGATAGTGTAGATAGCATTAATGAGCAGTACTGAGATTGAAAAAGGCCAAAAAAACAGCAGAATTTGCCTTTATTCCTTAATTGGAAATAAATTGGCAAAACATATTGTAGTACTGAACTAGTGTCTCTGTGTTCCTCCTCAGCTCTTCTTATTGGCACAGTTTCAGAGTAAGTTTCCTCAGTTCCTGTTAATTTTTAGTGGAATTCTGGATATTGGTTAGGATTTTACTCAAGTTTTTTGTGTGGGTGTGATATGGTGTAACACTTATGGACTGTTCTCTCTTTCCTTCTTTTCTCTAGTCCGTTCTGGATCTCCTAGATGATTCAAGTGGAATTCCTAAAGATGCAGTATTTTTGTACAGTGGTGGAGACTCTTTAAAAGCACTGCAGTTTCATGATGAAATTGAGATGCTAGTAGGCAGAGGTGTGCCTGGGCTCCTTGAAGTTATTCTCAGCCGCTCAATTGAGGAGGTTTATAAGCATATTCTTAAAACTCTGTTTCCAGATGAAGACCAACTAATAAATGATGACAATGTTTTGAAAAGAAAGCTAAGTAAAAACAGTGGAGAGGAAATTCACAGAAAATATGCTAAACTGAAATCTGAAGGATATCTTAATGTCGCTCCAGGATTAATTTCATTTATAGCACTGAGAAGAGGAAATCATTTTTTTTCTATGGATTTCACCAACTCTTTTATGCAACCCAGTAGTACAGTACAGGTGGGAGGGGAGTCACTACAACAACCATCCTTTTTGCGTGCTGTGACTCCAAGTATAACAAAAAGCCACGTGCAAGGGCATGAAAAGGAGAACAGGACTTTAACAATTACCAATAAAGAAGAGAAAACTGACTGCTGCTCTGTGCAGCAAATCTGTGCAGAATGCCATCATGTAACAACAGCAGAGTTGGCATTACGCACAAGATGGAAGTCAAATACAAGAAAATGTGTTGATGCATCACCGTTGATTGTAATATCATCTGAAGATGAAGAATCTGCATCTGTATTTGTTGGCTCTCACTCTCACACAATGCAGGCTATTGATCTAGATACAGGAGAAGTGAAATGGGAGAAGAATCTTGGAGATCGTATTGAATCTTCTGCCTGTGTATCGAAGTGTGGAAATTTCATTGTTGTCGGTATGTCTTTTGTGTTAGCTTTCACCTCAGATTATTTTTTTCATATTTCTTACCTCCATAAACTTCCATCTATCTGCTTCAAAATGAATTTATTATAAAACAGAATTAGAAGGAATAAGTAATTTAAATGCCAGGATGCATTGTGATAGAGATTGATATATTATGCAGCTGTGATTGATTTTTATACCAGTTCATTAAGGCCTTAAGGAGTAAACTATGGGTACAGGTAATTTTCAGTGGTTGACTGAGGTGTGACCCTTAAGGTGTTTTTTAAAGAAGTATGGAAGGGTGATTATGGAGCATTAAACTGTCATTAAACATTGATAGAGACAGCAGTTAGGATGTGGTACCTCAGATAATCAAACTGTGAAAAATAGTGCAGTTTCCTTTCACTACATATTTATAAACTACATGTTAACACTTGGATTGTTTTTTGTCTTTAAACATAAGTTTTGGAAAGGAAGTTTTTAATCCATCATAGTACAGGCATTTTAAAGACTGCTGGATGTTGATATATAGCACTGACTTTATATACACTCTGTCAGCTAGGACAAGTTAGGAAAGAACACACAGAATTAACAACTTAGAATGTATAAATTAATTGGAAAGATTTGGTGCTAAAAGAGAAGGACCAGCTTTGGAAAACGTTTTGAAGCTGTACCTCCTTAGTCAACTAAATTCTTTCCAGCAGTGACACAGTTAACAGCATAAAACACACCATAAATGCAGGTATTTCTTTTTTTATTTCCATTGTTGTGTTTTGTTTCCAACAGGTTGTTATGATGGCTTAGTGTATGTGCTCCAAAGCACTGATGGAGAAACATACTGGACTTTTGCCACAGAAGACACTGTGAAAAGCTCTGCAGTGGTAGATCCTTCCAGTGGATTAGTCTACGTAGGATCGCATGACCAGCATATGTATGCTTTGGATATTTATGTAAGAACACTGGATAACTTGTATTCTGCAAGAACCAATATCCAAATTAGACCCTATCTATAGCACACCAGATGAAGCTGTGTTAGTTATTGTTAGTTAGTGGTGGTATTCTCAGAAGTCTGCCATAAAACTTTTGAGATGGTTGTGCTTGCTTGAATGGGTTAGGATTATGTTTTGATAAATAGTTCTAGTCGTTTTCTCATGCTCCTAGTCCTGGCTGAAGCAAGATCTTAAGCTTCTCAGTTACTGAATACTCTGGGTATTTCAAAATAGGGTGCCCATCCAGAAGTGACACAGTGGCTTAGTGGTGGGAAGAGTCTTACATTTTGAAAGAATAGATGAGGGAAGATGGCAAACAAGGGGGCCAGATGCTGCTGGTCATTCAGCAGAATTTTGTACATTTACTGGAAAATACCACTGACATGAGTTTCTATAACACCATGTGAATTATACCTTAATTTAACGTTTATTAATTAAATGCACTGTTTAATAAGCTTTGACATTGAAAGATCATTTGAAAGACATTGAAAGAGAATTTTAAAATTCTGAGCTTGAACTGGAATTGTAAATTGTTGTTGTTCTTACAGGAAAAGATGTGTGTATGGAAATTGCATTGTGAAGGTGGAGCTGTGTTTTCATCTCCTTGTCTGAGCTCTTTTCCACATCACGTTTATGTTGCTACACTAGGAGGACTGTTACTGGCTGTCAACCCGGTATGTACCACTGCCAACTTGTCTTTGATCTCAATATCAAATTTAGATTAAACCAAAATGCATTTCTGAAATTAAGAGCACTTTATCAATGGAAGAAATTATGCAATCATGTGTTACTATGTAATCTTTTTCACTTGAGAGCCTCACTGTTATACACAAGGTCACTATAATAATTTCTGGCGATGAAGAGAATTTAAGTGACTTGCTTGAATTTACATGGTGTAACTGTGGGCCAAAGTTGGAATCAGCATCTTCCAATTCCCGCATACTTATTTTATCAGTTAAATTGGTATGTGAGAGTATGCCTGTGGGTTTTGTTTTCTTTCCTCTGTCCTTTTGACAGTTAGATTTGAAAAAAATATATACACAGAATGTACTGAAATTAGAACGGAATAAGGAAAGAAGCTCCTTTATTCCTCTTTGTGTTCCCCTTCTCATAGTCATTTAAAGAGCTGCCCATCGTCATCTTGGACTATTGCTGTTCTCTGCACCGAGAGAGTGGCATTCTTGATAAATGTGGTGCAATTTTATAATTTTTCTGAGGCAGTTTTGGCTTGCAGCTGGTGCTGCCTGATAGAAGAAACAGTCACTTGGAGCAGATACTCGTGTTGTACACCACTCACAACCCAACATTAGTCCTCACTTTCCTTATGTTCCACCCACTACAAATTTCTGTAGTAGCACCCAAATACTTCTATCTGCATCTAGTTTTATAAGTTTCAGTATATGGTTTTGCAGCTCTAGGGAACTGTGGATAAGAAAAAATATTTGGTGTGTGGGTTTTCTTGTTTGTTTGTTTTCATAATTCTGAGTAACAGGCAGTTGAAAACTCCAGCCATAGCTCCATGTGATTATTTATAACAAAGGAGCTTACTGTGGCAAGCATAGATTGTGGGTTGAAGCATTTAGTATGGTATGTATTATGAAGACATAATACTCATTTTCAAAATATGCTCTATTGCACTGACCCTGTTCACATTCTGAGGAGCTGAGAATGGAATTAAGAATTAATGTTCTTCTTGAAACTTCTACTACTGCTTATTATTAATTATTTTGCCTAGGGGAAGGAAGAGAAAAGTGGAATAGAGGCAATGAGTATGCCAGTGTACAACTGTTTTGTCGGAATAACATTTGAAGCATAGGTTTGCATGGCTGGGTCAAGTTGTAAAGGAAGAACCTTTTTGTGGAACCTCCATTGACAGGTGACAGGGAATAAGATTTGGAAGAGTTTTCTGGGAAAACCACTTTTCTCTTCTCCTCACTGCAATGAGAAGTGTGTTTGTATTGGATGTGTGGATGGAAACTTATACTGTTACAGTCATTGTGGAGAAAAGGTAAAAACTGTTGGTGATGGTGGGGCTGGGTTTTTTTGTTTAATGCTCATTCCCAAACACTGCATAACATGCTTTGTTAATACTGTTTTTTTCTGAGGCTTAATGATTGATTAACATACACCTTTTTGCGAACCAAATAGAAGTGTGTATTATACAGAGGCAAAAGAACTGTAGTACATTCAGTCCATGCCAAACCAGAAATAAGCCACTAAGTCCCAAGTTGCTTGATGTAGTAACAGAAATTGTAGTAGAGCTTACACTCAGAGCAAATGGTGGTGCCAGAGTAGTGCCAACAAATAAATACTTCTGGGTTTCAGATTTTTTCAAGAATGTTTAAAGCCATTTCTTCATAAAGGGTGGCTGTTGAGAAGTAAAGGTTTCTTACAGTGCTTAGTGGTTTGTTAAATACTGGCATCGTGGCAAACATGTTGCAGATGATAGTTCTGGCATAATATATGGAATTAAATATTGTTTTGTTCTGCCATAATGAATATGGTTTATTAAAATAAATGATACTATTTCTGTTTGACTCAGGTGCAACATACATGGCAATTCCAAAGCTTTTTCTGATTGTTCAGTGTCTTGGTCTGTGCCCTGCCCTCTGTCTCCTTGCAGCAGTGGTTAGAGCTCATACTTGAAGAGGGTTCTTTCTATCCATCTCATCCATCCATTAGCTTGAGGAGAGGAAAACTATAGCACTAATGAGACTTCATCTTTGTGGAAAAGAATGGCATCAGAACAAAATTCTTAAAGCTCATTGCTAGTTGTGCTGTGATGACCCCAAAACATTCTTTTCCCAAGTTGGCTATCTGCATGGGCCTCTCAGAAGACAGTAACTCTTCCAGTATATCTATTTTCTCACGTACTGTGCTTTGTAAAACTTAACTTGTAATTTGGAAAGTATTTACCAGCCTACACTGAAATCTTGTATGATTTTGAAATTATATGTGCTTCCATCAACGACTAAGTATTAAAAATTTATAGTTGCTATGATTCTGAAAATGCCATCAGCCTGTGATAATGGGTGGTTATGTTATTTCTGTAGGTTTGGCAGTTTTCCACTAATGGACCAGTGTTTTCATCTCCGTGCATCTCAAGCTTAACTAAGCAAGAAGTATTTTTTGGATCCCATGATCACTTTATTTACTGTTGTGATACAGAGGGTGATTTACTGTGGAAATTCAAAGCCACTTCAAGTGTATATGGAACGCCATTTGTTTTCCAAAGTAATGACTCAAAGAACAAAGTTCTTTTGGCAGCAGTATCTACAGATGGCAAAGTGTGGATCTTGAACGCTAGGAGTGGAACAGCAGAAGGAACAGATACGCTTCCAGGAGAGGTTTTCTCATCACCTGTAGTATGGGGAACAAAGCTTGTTGTTGGCTGTAGAAATGATTATGTTTATTGCCTAGATTTGTACATAACAGGAAAAAAGGAACAAGGATGTTAGACTGCTGCTGCTTAATTGTTTACATTTGTAAATTAAGAACTTGAAGGCACTGTCTACCTCTCTGCCTATTTTGCTTTAGGCAAAAGCTGCTTTGTGCAGCTTTCTCAACATTTTGCACCATTGCAAATGCAGGTAAGTGATGTTTGTTGGCTTGCTGTACTGACTGAAGGATGACTGCTCAGCACTAGCCACAGGTTTCACTGTCCCTCCCTCATTTCCCTGCCCAGACTGAAGAAAGAAAGAAAGAGTGTTTCAAGTTGTTTGGATCTGAGCGTTGTGCTTTTACCTGTGTAGCAGGAAAATGAAAGTCAGTAGTTTGGCTTCAAGTACTTATATGGCTGGAAGAAACTCTGGTAAGGTGCCACACTGTGTGACTGGAATTAACATTCTTGTCTCCCTGAGGGAGGAATGTATTCCTTTCTGTGAATCCTAAGATGCTATAAGGTAGCCAACATTCTTTGTTCAGTCTAACTTTAATTGATTTCTGAGGAGGTAGCCTGCATTCTATGTACATAATTAATATTAATAATCTACAGCAAGTTGGGGCCCTCCCTGGCTTCACTTCAGCTGAGTCTCTATTTTTCTCTATGGAAATCAGCACTAGTCACTTACTGTATTCTAAAGTGTCTATTAGGTGTCAGTGACAATTCCCATATGAGTTCCTAGATGAGGTATGCTGTGTTCAAATCAAAGCCTGCCAAGCTATTTTTGAAGAAATTTCAATTAATGCTAACTGTAGTGTTTACAGAGTGCTATTCATAAGGGATTATATAGGTTTTTTTGTTATCATAAACATCTTAAAAAGAATTACTGTCAGTAATGCAAAGCAAGGATTTGCAGACAGAAGTACTCTTAACTCAAGAGTATCTTCCTGATTACAAGCCTTCTTAAAAAGCTATTGTAGAAGCTATCAGTCATCTCTCCCCTTCTTGAATCATCTACTTCAAATTCTAACATTCTGAGTTAGTTAAAAAGTAAGTAGAAGTTGCAGAGGCTACATTACATGTCTCATTCATCCATTTTACTATTAGGAGACAGGCACAGGCAGGACACTTGTGGTAGCAGAAGTTCTGTTATAAAGCAAACCTGAAGTACACAGACAGCAAAAAGAGACACAGAATTGATACATCCCTGATAATTTTGACTGGGTTATAGTTTAATTAGAATTAAAATGACATTAGTATAATAAACAATTGCACTTTAAAACATTTGAAAAATTAAAAAAGTACACAACAAATACCCCACAATTATACATCTTATAGGTTTTTTTATACATTACTATATGAACATAGAGGTTAATCATATATAACCTGGTCAGAAGAAATGCTATTAATGTGTATAAGTTACAAAAATTGAGACAATATACTACATAGTGGTTTGTTTGGTTTTTAAAACATTTTTGTGTTTTAAAGTCGGAAGTAATGGTTTGTGGTGGTTGGGTTTTATTTGTTGTTGCGTTGTTGTTTTTAAACAGATTTCCAACACTTTATCAGAAACAGCTGCAACAAAGCTAAAGCAAAGTAACACTTCACTTCATTGGTATTTAGTGCAAATTTTTGTTAGTTTATCATGAAATGTCACTGTTGAACATGTATGTTTTAGAAATGTTTCCATCAGGTTCTGTACGTAATACACGTACAATCTGAATTACACTAGATACCTTTATGGTTGAAAAAACAATCTGGTTTGAAGCTTAAGCTTAAGACTTTCCTTAACAAAAGCTCTGTTCTATGTGCTTTAAGTGTATTGTATTGGAAAATTGCATCGTTATGTCACACACAATAGCACCTCATTATGCTATGCTGTCTGGAATACTTCAATCCTGATTTACTTCACCTTCTCTGTATTAAACCTGTATCCCTATCCCAAGGAATAATCCTAAAGACAGATTTCAGGCAGTTTAGTTCTTGTAACTATAAATACATATTGCAGGCTTACAAAATTCACAAAAAGAATAGATTTAAGAAGTAGTAATTCATGCTGCTAGCAGAAATAATTAAGGGCCAGATTCTTTCCTCAGAAAATTCTTTGCAGAGATTTTACTATGTAGCAGTAAGTGTTTTTTTTTTCCCAAATGTTTGAGAACAGCATTGCCTCATCTCTGTATAAAAGATTCTAAATACTTACATTAATGGAAAAAATATTACTTCACAGGTTTGGGTTTTAAATATGAAAATGAGCAAAAGTGATGGCTTAGGAGGCTCAAAAAAACAGTCTTGCTGTGTTCTCATCATCTCCATCTACCATGTCCCATGTGTTTGTGCTGTTGTAACCACAGTAGCAAACCTTTGCTACTTTCTGTTTGATGGGAAACAGGGTGTTCAGTAACAATTTTACCATCGAGCCCTTTTTGATTCTTGGGATGGGAATTCATGGCAGATTTCATTCTGTTTTCTGCATAATTTAAAGTGCTGCTGCTCATGCTGCATACAGCAGTTTGGCTAAAGTATTTCCATGAAATGCACATGGTATCATTCTATAACGATACAACTTCTTTCCATCAAAATTATCACTCTTTATCGTGCATTAGGCCTAAAGTGCCTCTGAGCCTTACCATTACTAAGAGATCATCAAATTTATTGAATACGGCCTTGTAAAACCTTGCTGGGCATGTTACAGGTTTGTTAACTAGGGTGACTTTTAAAAACATAGACATAGCTATTTCCATGGGATATTAAGGATAATAAAATTTTTATTATATTATGGACTTTATCCTTTTTTTGCAAGAGGAAGGCAGTGAACACCACTATTTTAGGTACAGAGAAGTAATAAAGTATCTGCCACAGCAGGTAAGTGAACTGTGGGCAGTAAGTCAGTGCTCACTTAAGGATGGTAAGTAAACCTTTTCAAAGTGTGCTGTCTGTATTGGTCAAAGTGCAGGAATTTACCTGAAATACCCAAAGTTGCATGTGAAGTAAAACCAGGAGAAATGCAGAGCTGAAACTCTAGAGATGTTCATTGACCTAGCTTTCAGGTCTCAGTTAACTTTAACTTCAGTTATGTGGTCTTGCTCCTGTGGGAACTTCCTGAGACCAACTCTGTAAGTATAGGAGCACAGGAATAGTTTTACTTACTTTAGTCCCAGTCACAGAATTTAAAGTTTTAATCTGCAGTTGCTGTCTCTGCATGTTAAATGTGGCGAAGCACACAGTGATGCACTTAAATGACTACGGTAAATACTGACTCCCTGGTTTGTGGAATCACCTAAGTTGGAAACAACATTCAAGACCATGAAGTCCAACCATCAGCCTGACCTACAAAGGCCCATCACCAAGCCATGTCACTTACTGCCATATGCACACAATCCCATAGATGGCTCCAGCAGCAGGAACTCCACCGCTTCCCAGGACAGCCCATTCTGTGGAACATTCTTCCTAAAATCCAAGCTAAGCCTCCCCAGCGCACCTTGAGACTGCTTTGTCACGTTCTACCACTTGTCACTTGAGAAAGGAGTGACATTCATTGCTGCCACCTCCTTTCAGGTCGTTGCAGAGCAGAGGCTTCTTTCTAAAAACTTGCTGACTTCGGCTTAATTAGTAATTTTTTTTTTTTCGAAGTTGGATGAATTGTTTTCTTCTTAGGACTAAGAGAATATTAACACAATAACCCTACAATAAAAAAAATTACTTCAGCATTCGAACCACCTTTCCTATTGCAGGTGGACAGAAGTCTACCAAGGTTCTTCATTAGGTAAGACACTTCTAAATAGCAGGTAGAACTACTGACAGTTCATACAGTTTAACGCTTGAGAAAATTTAGAAGAGAAGGGAACATGCATCTTGCATTGATTTTCAGCAATGGACTGCTGAAAAACTTCTGAGATTTCCACTTAACTGTAGAGATCTAAAACTCCAAAGCCAAATTCAAGAGAATTCAAGGAGCTACTGAAGTTCTGCCCCTTGTTATGATACTTGCTAACATTTACATCCAGTATCTGAGCATTTTTGAACTTTTGAGAGAGACTGGCTCTGAAATTTGTGACCTCACTTAGCTATTTGTCAAAGCAATGGAATATATGACTTGAATAGGCTTTACAGTGAGCTAGAGCAAAATGGTAATCGATTCAGTTTCCAGTCCTCCAATACATGCATTTTCAGTTTTGTCATGTGTTTAAAAGCTGAATAAATAAAAAGAAAGCAGTTAATAGGCAGCAATAGAGATAGAATTTTACAGTTTACTTTATGATCTGTGGACAGTCACTCCAAGCTTTTGCTTTCCTCTTGGCCAGTGCAAGCCAGGCTGGTTCTGTTGACACAGGGTTTGCATCAGGTGTGGAGAATCTCTTGGCCACCTCTTTTGCCAGTGGTGTTGGTGAAACAGAATCTGAAATTTCCACTGTGGGGAGGAGGAAACAAAACAAGTTTTAGTTAAAGCCCATACTTTGTTGGAGAATTTCAGAGATTTAATTTCTGTAAAGGTGTTCTGATTTAACACAATACTTATTTACAACTCTATTAGTTAAATCTTATTTGTTTGCAAAATAATCAGATAAAGAAGGAGCAGAATTTTCTTTTTCAGAAGCTTTGTTAAATGTTCTCAGTCCAAATTACTTTCAGATGCATTTTCACGTTTTGACTATTTTTAAAAGTTTTAAAATTGCACAGATAGCAAAAATTACTTCTTTAGAGCAATTGTAATGATGCATTATTAACTGTAAGTAGTAAATGAACAGTAGCAGGAGCTACTGCTGTAGGCAGACACTTTGAAAATTGAGTAATTTGAAAGGTTGAAGTAATTTATGCTATTTCAAAGGCCGTACTCTCTTAGCAGTTCCTGGTGCAGAAGATTCAAGTGCAAGTCTGAAATAGATCACATTTTTTCAATATATATATATTTTTAAGCCATTACAGGAGAATCAGCAAACCTGTTTTAAACATTTTCTAGCCTGATCTTCTGCTTATACTGCTCTACTAACTGTGGGAAACCCAAATCAGTGTGTCATTATCCATAGTGCAGAAATACTGGCTTGTATTATATCTGTGGTGCTGATAATGGCTGCCTGACTCCAACTGTAGACAGTGCTCCCATGGATATCCAGTCACTGTTTCCTTTACCACCAACACAGTTCTATGCTTTCCCTTTAAGGAAATTCAAAATCTGTGATTCCTCCTGAATTTCCTCCTGAAATTCAGCTGATACCTGTATGTACTTTCAAAGAAGTCCACATTATTTACACTGCAGCTTATAAAAGGTTTAATCTTTACCTATCTGTATTCCTCTCCAAAACCTTTTGCCTAAAACTATAGCTACAACAGTTACTTCCCAAAGGTCATGGTATTTCATGTATCTGTTTTACTGTTCCTGCCTTTTGAATGTAAAATTATTTCAATTTATCTTAGTGACAAGTAAAGAAGTCAATCAGTCCTGGTTCCAGCTGTCCAGACCCGGTACTTGGCTGGAAGAGAAAAATCCTAAATTCCAAAATGACAGGGTAGCCTCAATTTCGTTTAATTGGTATTTGTATTTTTGAATGAAATGAGTACTCAAGTTTCTGGGGGAATTTTTCTCCTCTTCAGCTGGGGATGTATGGGAACATGATGCAGCTAATTGGCCACACAGGTTCATTTAGTAGAGGTTCAGCACCATTTGCACTGGGAGCTAACCCTTAAACTAAAGGCAAAACAATATTGCAGTTGCAATTTACAGAAATTCAAGTTCCTTTAAGTTCACCGGTCTTGTTCCAGAAATATTTGTTGCATATGGCGTGGGGAGAGAGCCTAATGTCTTGGTGGTTTGTTTTGTTTTGGTTTTTTATATTATTTTTTAAGTTAATCTGGGGCAATCCTGAAAAATTCTAATAACTTGGAGAACCAAGTTAAAATGATGCACTGGAAGCTGAGGAGACTGCAGCAAGTTGTGCTGAATGCAAATGCATTTATAATTGTAAGGGTAATACGAGAGAGGAAAAAAATCATTCACTTTCTCAAAAACATGCAGTACCACTTCTAAAACTACATTTCTGCTTGAGTAAAGGTGAGTCTCCCACTGTACCTGTCACAGAAGTTGGAAGGGTGTTAGACTTCTTCAGCTGCTCCCTTCGTTCTAGTCTTGACACAGCCGTCTCAATTTTCTTCTCCCCTTCTTGAGGTGTAGATTTCTGCAGTGTGCTCGTTTTGCTGCTGCTGCTTTTATTATCTGATTGATTGCTTACAGCAGCCTAGAACAGAGGAAAAGTGGTAAATGAGAATCTGTCATAAGGCAACCACAAGTAAGAGGTGTTGCACCTGATGCTTTCATTCATTGCTTGTCCTTTCCTCTGCTTTCCTTTCAGGCAAAGAATCCAAACAATCCGATACTTCTAAAAGTAGTAGTTATTAAAGTTTGTATAAGAAAGCAGAAGAATTAGTTTTTTCAAGTTGTCTCTTCAGTCAAAATATGGAACAGTATGAACCACTCTACCTGATACACAGAGGACAGAAGAACAGGGTGACTTCACACCCCTGCTTCACACCCCCACACCAGTTATATGTGTTTCTGACTATAGATCTGTCTGAGAAATGTAGGTCTCATCACAGACATTAAAATATAGTTACCCACACAACTTCCCTTTTTACCATCCATAGTATCTAGATACAGCATCACGGCTCGTATAGCCTGTTTTAAGCATTTGAAAGCTTTGTATGGCAGTTCATTTCTTTCATTCATCCATATTGTGTCCAAGTATTATGACAGAAGTGAATTCAAACATTAATGTTCACCTATAAATGAAAATAGCAGTACTCAAGCTTTGAAAGAAACATGTTACATACCATTTTTCTGCTGCACCAGCTGCCCTGTGGGCAGGCTTATGATTACCACTAACTCCCCCGGATATTAGGGCATCAGAGTTTATACTGCGACTGTCACAGTGTTGCACATTACTTTCTACTGGAGCAAAAGGCTGCTTTTTACCCACTGTCATCTTAGTTTTTGTGAAGTCTTAACAAACCAACTGCACATGCAAATACTTCACATAACAACAACTGGCTAATACTTTTAATGGAACCATCGGTGTTTCTAAAGATATTTACATTTTCTTTAGCCAGCTTCTCTGCTTGCTTTGCCTCTCTGGCTTGTCTCCTCTCTTCCCTAGTAGCTTGCTGCTCACGAAATCCCTTCTGTTTTTGCAGCGCTAATGTGATCCACAGTGGTTGTGAAGTTTCAACTTTTTCCATCAATTTAGAGCCATCCAAAGAGTGTCTGCTCTGCAGGACTGGTTTTTCTGAAAGAAAACATGAAGATAGTTGGTTGAATAAGGGATATCCATTGTCTCAAGTAACCAATACAACTTCCCACCTTGTGAAACTGCAGCTAAGCTCATGGACTTCTGTGCCATTCACAGACCTTCAGGAACTATCAGATTCTGAATGAGTTTTTAATGCCTCAAGAATATGACCTAATTCAACACTCCAGTACTTCAGCCAAGTTGAAAGTTCTGTACTCTGATAAATGCACTCTCAACATTTTTTTTTAAATTGCTATTTGAGCAATAGTTGATTTCTCATTCAGTGTGGTGACTCAAGAGCAATGAAAGGTGGATGTAACCTTTTCTTCTGCAGCACAAGAGCTTTCTGGATTTTCCAAAGCTATCTTGTATCTCCACCGAACTGGTTCAGAGACAACAAAACCTGAATTACTTCCTTCTTGCTCTTGTTGCCTGTGGCTATTCCCAGAAACAAATCAGGCTTTATTTAAGCAATTACTTGAAAAGCTTCATTGAAACTAGTAGCCAAAGTACCTATAAGTGTGAAACCACATAACTAATTTTAAATATCTACACTCATGTTTGCAAAAAAGTATTTGAGGCTAAAAACATCTCTGACAGCAAACATCTTGTACAAAATTGAGTCTTGTAGTCAATACAGAGCTGTGTAAGGCACTGATGGTAACTGTGAGCAGCACTGTAGGTGCAAATGTTCTCCTGCAGAGCACAGAAACCCTCATAGGGCACAAAGGCCCTGCTCTCCTAGAGCACAGCTGTGCCTCCAACTAGTTTCCAAAATCCTCATTTAGAAATGAAAGGAAAAAGTCTGTGTTCACAGAAACTGTAAGTAGTTCGCCGAGATGCAATTTTAGAAGTCTTGATGTTTACAGAAGTCAAGAATGGGGAAAAAAGGGGATTTCCCAAGTAACGGCTGAATTCTTGGCCTCACTCATCTAAGTGTCCTCACGCTGACAAGGAACTTTTTCCAATCATACTGAGCACTCTTTCAGGACCCAGGGACTTTCAACCTTCCTCTGAAGAGCCATTAGGGCCACTGTAAGCACTTGTACTACTGAAGAGTGCTGCTGAAATGCAGACTCATGCCCCGCTGTAGATTGATAGAGAATATGCCCAGGTCAGGTACTGCAAGGGCAGCTAGATCTTATTTCCTTTTTTAAGATCTTTTTAAACTAAATACTATTCGTCCCAGAATAAATACAATATGCAAATTATAGAACTGACTCCCTCCACTTTGATGGCACCATTACACATAGAACACAAGTCCATATTTGCCTAACTAGGTAACATCTCTATCAAGGAAAACTCACTTCTGTCACCTTGAAATTCACTTTCTGAAGCAGGACATACTGGCTGCATTGAGTTTGTGTGTATCTGAATTAACCTGTGGGGTTAGGAAGTCTCATTCATTCAGACAACTGTATGCAAAGCAGTGGCACTCCACACATAATATGTCAGGTAAAAATTATAGCTTAAGACCAGATTTCTTCCTCTGGACTTCAGTATCTCATTTTGGAATTGCAGACAATCGCTAAATGACTTTTAAGTACATACCTTTCTTCAATGGCTCAGGCTTTTTGTCATTTTTTTCTCTCCAGGGAATACTCAGAGATGGAAAAAACGACTTCTTTTCTCTGATTTCTTCCTCTTCATTTTTGCTCTCGTTTGGTGCCACCGGAGGCACCGCTCTGTCATCTTTTCTCCAGCCCCCATCCGATTCAGCCTTAACAAACCTCTGCCCCAGTGTATCAGCCAGGTGTGATCGGTTCATTTTCGAGAGAGGAGATGATGGAGGTGTTTGGCTGGCAGGCTTTGGAGCTAAGGCAGGTTTCTGTGGGAAGAGCGACTTGCATGCTGGTTTCTCATGAGGAGGTAAAGCGCTCTGGCTGGTGGCTGGCAGTGGTGTGCCCACTTGTTGTGAAGTCTCCAACATAGTAAATGAAGAATCTTTTGAGTCTTTTAAATTCCCATGGACGTTTGCTTTCCCTATACCAGGGGATGTACTCTCCTGTGTAGCAAGAACAGCAGATTCCTGTTCACCATCAGCTGTGAGTAGTGGGTCAGGCACACCATCAAAACTGTCTCCTGCACTGTACCTTTTCTTTTTCCTCTGCTCTGCCTGTTGATCATAATGGAAACGTAAAGAATAGTTTGTCCTCCGTAACTTTATCCCAAAGGGAGAAACATTTTCTTCTCCATTTGGTGCTGGTTTATCTGGTTTTTTGGTGCTGTTGTTCTGCTGATTTTCCAGAGCACCTGGAAGTTCAGACTGGGGTACCTCCTTACCTGGAGAACGAGGAAAACTTGGAACAAGAAAAGATGGAAGATCTTTTGCAAATTTACAACCTTCTGTGTTGTCTGTAATTTCGCTGTGTGTTTCTATTTTCTCTTTAGCCATTTCAGATAAGTTATCCTTTAAAGCGGACACTACATCCTCATTTGCATCAGTGCATGACCCAATGTTTCTTCCCACAGCCACTTTTTCATTGCATTTTGCTGCACTTACATTCTCAGTGCCTGAATTGGTTTTGGAAGCTTCTGAAAATTTCTGCCACGCTGGTGTTATTGAGAACTTTGCATTTGCAGATAGGGTTTTCCTCAAGTTACCATGGGGAGAACCTCGTCCCCGGGGCGTCCAGTCATCACTGTGTCTGCAGGCACTTACTCTGTCTTTCTCATTGTATTTGCCATTTTCTTTATTCTTTAAGATTCTAGAACGGATAGAGGCCCACTCAGCTAATGTGGCTTGGTCCAATGCCTCTTGTGTGTATTTGATTTTACTGCTGCTGGGTTTGGGACCTGGAGATTTTTTCTGGGCCTTTTCTGGTGAAGGAATATCCACATTTTTTTTCTCTTCTGTTAAGCCAAGCAATGATTTACAAGCTGTGTCCTTTATCTGGTTCAGGTTAACTGCTGTGCCACACAGCTGTGCTCCAGTAACCAGAATAGCTGTATGGGGTACACACACAGATGATGGGAGCGTATGAGAGCCCTTGCTGGAGGTGTGCATCATGCTATCTTTGACGGATGGAGAAGACAGTCCTGCTCCTCTGGCAGGCGTGACTGGACTCAGATTTACTTTCTGAAATATGATCTGTTTATCTCCAGAAGACACTTGAAATGTGAAGGGTCTGGATGCAGTTTGTCTTTCATCTACCTCCTGCCACCTAAGTTCTTCCCCTATTCGCTTTTGTTCTTGAGCATCAACTTCTCTCTTCAGTTTCTGGGCCAGGATTTCTTCTACTGTTTTACTCCCTTTTTCTGGCTGTTTGATTTTTTGCGGTCTTGGTCTTTCCTGGAGCTTGTCATCTCCTTGATTCCTATCAGCCCCCACAGAACACAGCTCATTCTTGTCATTTTGCTGCTCCAAGGAATTTTCCTGTTGCTTTTGAGGAAGATTTTGCCCTTCTGTGTCTATTTTCTGCTCTTCCAGCTTGTTCCACTCTTGTTCCTTTTGCTGTTTCAGTTCATCTTGTTGCACAAAGTCTGTACTTTCCAAGTGCATTTGTTTGGTGAGTTTATGTTTTCTCGGCTCTTCCCGCCTCTGTTTCTTCTCCAGAAGCTGCTGGGGTTGCTCTTCCTCTGTCTCTTCTCTCTCCTTCAAATGCTGTCTTTCTTCTTCCTCTTCCTTCTGTTGGCTGGGTACCTCAAACTCTTTCTCTTGCTTCAGTTTCATTTCAGCTTCTGGAAGCTCTTTCTCTTCTAGTTCTCGTCTCTCTTTTTCTTCCTTATTTTGTTCCATTAGTTCTTTTTGTTCCTCCATCTGGTTTCTTTCCTCTTCCTCCTGACACCATTTCTCAGTCTCATGTTGCGTCAGTTCTTCCAGCTCTAGCTTCTCCGGTTCCTCCAGCTCATTTCTCTGTTGCTCCTCCAGCTCCTTGTGCCTCTGCTCTTCCAATTCCTGGTGTTTCTGCTCCTCTAGCTCTTGCTTCTGCTCCTCCAGTTCCCAACGCCTCTGTTCCTCCAGCTTCTGTCTCTGTTGTTCCTGTTCCTGGCATTTCTGCTCCTCCAGCTCTTGTCTTTGCTCCTCCTGTTCCCAGTTCTTCTCCAGCTCTTGTCTGTGTTCCTGACACTTCTGTTCCTCCAGCTCCTGTCTCTGTTGTTTTTCCCATTCCTGGTCCTTATATTCTTCCAGTTCCTGTCTCTGTTGCTTGTTCCATTCCTCGCACTTCTGCTGCTCCAGCTCTTCTCTCTGTTGCTCCTCCAACTCCTTCTGTCTCTGCTCTTCCAGTTCCTGGCATGTCTGGTCCTCCAGCTCTTGCCTCTTCTCTGCCTCCAGCAGTCTTCTCTCCTCTTCCTGGCAGGTTTGCAGTTCAGTTTTTGAAGATATGTCTCCTTCGAGGAGATACTGACTACTCTCTTTTTCATTGTCCCTTCTCTCTTGCTCTTTTTGCATCTGCTCCTCCAGCTCTTGGCACCTTTGTTCTTCCAGTTCTCTCTGTTCATCCATTTCTACAATCTGCCTTATCTTTTCAGCTTCAAGGATCCCCCAGTGATCTTCAGTTCTTTTCTCCTCTGCCAGCTGAAGCTGCTTTGGCTCATCTCTGTTCTGGATTAGTTTGTCTGCAGTGATGTGTCCATTATAACCTGGATATCTGTCTACAAACAGCTCAGTCTCTAGATCCTCTGGCTCAAATTCTGTTATCGTTAAGCTTTGTGATCCCTGAAATAGGGAGGCAAGTATGGAATTACTTAACATTGCCTACTGGCTTATTATTCTTTACAGTGAAAAAAACTATAGCTTGCAAATGCAAAATAATGTCTTTTCTTTAAAGAGAATGACTCAGATCTGGAGCCAACACATTTCAATTTACAGTTAATTTCTTCACAAATACCACGCCTCTCACCTGTACAGGTGACAGCCTTTTTAAGAAATCTGAGATCTGCCATTTCAGGAGGCTGAGAAATATGAAGTTTCACACTCTGTTCTATTACTTAGAACTCTGTTCATAAACCTCAAAATAATTAGCACCTGCCTCAGGGCATTTGTTTTGCCAGCTCTTTTGTGACAAATCTAATGTTAACATAAAGAAGAACTGCAATGCTAGTCAGGAAAGAACAGTGCTCAGGGGAACAGGATTTGGTTGCTTTTCTCAAAGCCTTGCCACAGTGAACTGAGTCTCTGTTTCTAACTGCTGCCCAGCAATGCTATACTGTTCCAAGGCACACGTTAACTAGTGCCTGGTTCTGTGTGTTTGCCCTGCAGCACTGCCAAGTAGGTGCAGTGCCTGCAGTAAACAGAAGGCAGATCTTTTTCACAGCTTGCTTCTTATCTCTATAACGAAGATGAGCTGCACCTTAACAGCGCTGCCCAGCACTTTCCATGAGGAAAACAGCTCAGTTAATGCCCTGCCCAGCTCTCATCTGTACAGTTGTTATTTGGCTCCAGTTAAACAAGAAAGAAACTAAATTCTTAGACTGAATATCTTCATTGCAATAGTGGATAAGAAGGATCAGTGCCTTCTCCTATATGTTGTATTAGTTGAATAGTCCCATTTATAAATGCTGATGTCAGGATAAAAACCAAAGTAACCATGCAGTAAGCATATTAGAGCTAGGATTTGTTATCTCGCTCTCAAAGCTGTAGGAAGAGCTGCATTACTCATTCTTTCTCTTCTCTGTAAGACAATGATGTCAGCACTGTCAGGACCTGCACCATTCTTCCAGAAGCTTCATACCATGGTGTCCTAATTTTTATTATTACTTTTTTAACTAGATTAGCTAGAATCAGAAAGTTCTCTTGAGTCTAGAATACTAGTGGATGTACCTCAGATTTAAATAGCATTTGTTTCAGCTAGCAATGTGAAAACTTTGTTGCATCTTATCTCCAGGTAGGGTTTCATCTTTAGGTCTTGACTTCAAAACAAAATAATCATCTATTTTGTTTTAGCCTGAAGACACAAGATTTGTCCAAGCTTTCACTAGTTGCCTCCAATTAATATCAATTACATCTTAAGGCAGTCCTCTGCTACTCCTGGTGCACTCAGTTATGGCTATTTAGTACACAGCTTCAAAAGCAACCTCCTCCTCTTGTTATTTCACTGAAGGTTCAATACCTTTGTTAATCTCTTGTGTTTTCTGGACATTCTCTGCTTTTTTGGCTTCACGGACAGTTTGTGTTTAGCTGCACTGTTGTCTAGACGAGCAACAGCCTGGGGAACTGCATCCAGATTGATTGTTTCAATTGTGCCAGAACAGGAGAATTGTCTTTTTGGCCGGGATGACTTGACTGGAGTTACCTGTTTGTATCACAAATACAAGAAATCTCTATTAAGTTGCTCACTCAATTTAAAAACATCATAACAAACAAACACACATACAACAAAACTTGGCAGTTTTGATTTCAAAGGAACTACTAGCTTATAACCAACAATTTGTTATCTCAAGCCCTCTTTTCCCATTACAGAAGTTGTGAACTTTGTACAGCTGTAACATTTTTCTGTTTCCGGAACCTCACACATTTTCATACCTTTCACTTAAATATTACTCAGAATATCCTAGCTGACTTTTTTCACAGAAAATGTCAGCTCTGCTCATAAGCTGTTGGGATCAACAAGGGCAAAGGCAGAGTTTTCAGCAGCGTCCCTTAGGACATTTTAAAGTTTGCGTATTGTAAAACATGTGCATCTTTAAATAATTTAGATAGGACGCTTCAGGAAGAGTAAATCAGAATGACTTATTAAAGCACTATAATAGAGCAGCTACAGAGAGGTACTGTCTGTGTGGTAGATGACTAAGCTGTGGGGACTCAGAGCCTCCAGACAAGCCTCTCTCCACAGCCATGTGGAGATGTCCAAGCAACCACAAGCACCAAGCAACAACAAAAAATGAAGTATGAGAATACTGGCTTTAGTGCTTTTCCTTATGCACTTCCAATGTTTTGGTTCAGAAACTGCAAATACAAACAAAGTGATTTAGTGAGACAAGGGGCTAAGTACAGTGGGACTGGATGCCTACACATGTAAGAGTGAGCCTGGAACCACAGCTTCTCCTGTAAAGCACTGAGCTATCATCCCAAACCTGTGTTTGGCACAACTCCAGTGGAAACAGAAGACAGAAAAAAAGGGAGAAAACGTTTTCTGTAAGGAAACAAAGTCACACGTGTTGTTTTCAAGACAGTCCTGCAATTTTCTGAGGTTAAGCATATGCTAATTAGGGAACCAATTACTTAAAGCTGATGGAGCATTTAACATACACTTACTGAATTACATGTAGACATAACAAAGTAGTAGAAGTACTTAGGAAAATCATGGCTCTGTGACTAATACATCAAAAGCAGAAATGCTGTAGGACCAGCAGAGAGATTTCTGCTGTTTCCTGCAGTCAACTCTCACTACAGAAACAGATTTCACAGTCTTAGTGATTGCTGATTTACTATCCTCAAAACCATGCAATATTCACAAGATCTTGGATGATGATCATGAATCAAAGAAATGTATTAAAACAAAAACCAACTGTTAGGCTTCTAATAGCTAAAAATGGAAACTAACTCAAAAGTTTCATTACCTTTTCTTCCATTTGTCCTGTTCCAGGCAAATCCATTGGTCTCAACAGATCTGGAGTGTCTGCTGGCTAAAAAAGAAGATTAGCACAGCTGGATATTAAAACTACAGAATCTAATAAATATGGTTCAAAGATCTTGTGAAATCATGCAGTTACAGTAGATTCAGTTTTCTCAAGTCTTATTTCCTGTCTGCAGGACTGCTGCATAAACAATTCTTGTTTCTAAATACTATCATTTTCTCATTGCTCCTTCAGTGACTACTGTCAACAAGAAGAAATTGCTGCTACTGGACACTACAGAAGGTGAAACACTTCCTTAATGAGATAACTACATTCAAATGAAAGAGCACAACTTTTCAGGATTTCAGGCAGCTCTTAATAACTTTATTTTCTCCTGATCTAGGCCCAGTGAAAACTAAGAACCTGGTCTGTGTCCAGTCAGGCATCAGTTCTGCTGCACAGAGCTGCAGCTCAAGATTTTCAATAACTCCTGTTTTTCACAGAGTGACCTGAGCCTACCAGAGCTCCATAGCTACTGTCCTGCTTGAAGCCAGCTCACACAGGGGGATTCTAAAGCACAGGGGTAGAAGCACCATTAATTGCATCCAGAAACATTTTTTAATTATTATATCACAGTATTACTTCACCGCTTAATGAATGTTTGGATCCCATTACACCAAGTGCATATAAAATTTCCTTCTGAACAGATTAATAGTACAAAGCATAAAAATATAGCTTAAATATAAGTCTTGCCATTGATCCAATTTAGGAAAATCAGAAGCCACAAGCCAGCATAGGAAGCTTGAAGCACGACAGTGCTACATGGTCCCAGCCACCGGCTCCCCCAGACCCACACAGATAAGCACATGGAGCTGCTACAAGACCAGCAGAAGAGACTGGAACTGAAACCAAGCAAGGTGCCATGCAGCAAAAGTCTCTGATAAAGCAGGCAGCAAGCAGCGCTCAGCAGGATAAAGCAAAGTGCTGAGCACTCTGGCAACTGAGCAATGACTTATTGGTATCTACCTATGTACTTGGAACCGCGATCTCCTGGGAATACTGATGTTCACTCCTCTGTGTTATGAGAAAGAACTATGCAAGGCAGCATTAATTCTGTTTTCAGACCATAGTACTTGAAAGAGAGGCCTGAACCTCTCTCTATTACACAAGGGAACTCCTGTGATTTTTTTGTGATTCTTTCTTCTTTCCAGTTGGAGGTCACCAGGTGGTGATGTTCTGGTCTCCCGAAGCACAAAGACCATCTGCAGAGGTGGTGTTGGAGTGTTCTCCCAGTTCCAGGCTATGTAGCCAAAACCTGCCACAGCCCCACTGTGATTTGAGGCACAAAGGATGCTCTAAACTGATTCCTTCACAAGAGATTATTTGTGAAGCAGAAGAAATACACCTTACTTCTAACTGCATTTCTGGACTGCTGAGGGACAGGTGTGAGCATGCAGTTCCTACCCAAGTGCTTAGCTCCCTGACAGCTCCAACTACTGCCATGAAGCAAGCAGTAACAGAGAGTTATGCTGCCTCTTGAGGCAGACGGAGACTGGGCCACCTCAGCCATAAATCTCTCTTCCATGCATTTATCTTAACATAGGCATGACCTGCAGAGGACATTCATTACCTTTCACATAGCCAGTGCTGCCTTTAGCACCCACGAGCAGAGGCTCATGCCCAGGATTTTATGGGCTGCGTGTACATGGTGAAGTTGCTGTGTGCCTTCCCCTGGCACAATGTCAGCCTTCTTCACGCAGGGAAGACTGCCCATTTGTCTGCCACAGACATGCCTTCAGCCATTACAGCAACTTCCAGAACCAGCATCACAGCACAGAATTTCCAGAGAGATTTCATCCCTTGCTGTGTTTCTTCAGCATGAGAAAAAGCCCCTTCTAGATACCTGCAGTTCCTGGTATCAAAGTCTCTGTATAGAACCTGAGTCATTTGAATTGCACTGTGCATTTGGGTTTACAAACCATTCTCCAAATGTTTCACCACCTTGTATGCCTTCAGTTCCTGTCCAAGATAAATATGGGTGTTTACCCCAAGATCACAGATCTTGAGGATTTAGTCTCCATTCCTCTCTCATTTTGCAATGATTTTTGCCACAGATGCTGCGCACAGCTTTCTGTGCTAGAAAAAAACATATTTCAAGACATATTCAGTTGCAGTTAAAAATCCGGTCTGCTGGCTACCCTGTGAGTAACACATGCTTTGCTGGAGGTTCAGAGCAGACAATCAGATGGGCAAAACTATGGGATCTAACTCAGGAAGCCAAGAGCACACACTTCTCACCAGTCCAAGATGCATGAGCTGTGCAATCCCACCCACACGCAGCAGCCACTGAGCCTGGCTCAGCCTCGCTGGAGACATCTGTTATGCCCTAGTGAACTTTACTGGTTTATTATCACCATAAAGCCATGAAAACATCAATTTAAAGTGCTTACTTTATTACCACTCTCTGAGAGCACCGTGTCCTGCTGAGAGTCAACCTCCATGAGGCTACCGAGAAACACATCCTCTTCTACACTAGCATTTGCCTCCCCCATTGTCCTCCCAGAAATTGTCATTTGCGGAGGCTGCCCAAATTTTATATTCTTGGCCAACTGTTGCTGAAAAACAAAAAGAGGGAGAAAAAAAAAAAAAAAAAAAAAAAAAAAAAAAAGGTATTTAGATTATGAGCAAAACAATCCAAATCTCCCAAATGTTCCCCTTCTCCACATGGAAGCGGCACAGAAATACTCAGGACAAGTTTTGGCTCCAGACAAAAATAACATCCTGAGGCTCATGTTGCTGCAGTTTGGTGGCCCTTCCCTCTCTATTCCCCTCACAAAGTGACCAAGAACAGGAATTCACTGCCTAAGTTCTGGTTTGAGGTGGTTAGCTTCAGTTTTAATCAGTGCTGAAAATTTATTGTGAATTTTGTGAATGTTGCAGCTTTCTGTCTATTTTCATAATCTATGTCCTAGATTAAGACTGTTTATAAAGCTAATTAATTACCAAGACTTACCATCACAAAGAAATGATAAGATCACAAACCAAATTCAAACTGCTCAGTATCTGGTTCCTACATGGACCCCAATACGAGTTTCATTGAGAAATACAGAAGCTCAGAGTAGGTGTCACTTCGAACGAGAGTGTATCTTTTTCCTATACCACAAAATCATGAACATGGCTCAGGTGAACAACTGGCAAGGGAAGGAATCCTTTAATAGCACAGGGTAGACTTCTGAAAGGATTCAAGTCAGATCAGCCTTCCTTTCATCGTTGCTCAGTGGACAACATTCTTGCCTAAGTTTACCTATACCAACTGCAAAACATTATCTAACAGTTTGATACAGAAATCTGGTAAAAATTCAAGCAGTTCGTGCCCATGTGAATTTTGGCAGAAAATAATGCAATTCATCTAGTACAGCATGTTGAAATAGTGGGCAGTTTTGAATGGCAGAGGTTTATTTCCACTCAGATTACTGTTCGTGTATCCTCTGTCTAACAGCAAAGGTTCCACAAAATCCTCCCAGATTTCTGTGTTACAAATATAGCTCTCTGACTTGAAATGTTACAACGTCCACTATGCAAGAGGGAGTCAGAGAGATCAAACACTGTGAAGGCTGTAGCTGAGCTCTGCTCCTACAGCTCCTCCGATACCAGTAGAACGCTGCTTCAGAACAGCTTCTTAATTCAATATCTTTTCTAAATTGAGTTTCCTGCCTGGTTCATGCTAAAGTCATATTCTTGAGAAACAGCTCTTCTTCCAAGCAAGAAGTTGGAACTGACAGGATTACTCTACTAGCTACCCATAAAACTAAAGACTTGGGCATCTATTACACAATGTACATGCGAGTACATGAACACCTACATGTGGTGCAAACTGTTTTGGTGGAAGGGAGATCCATTACTCTCTCTGTCTTCTGATCAAGTTCTTGACCTAATGTGAGTGCAGCGTACGGTGGGAGCTGTGTGTCAATGAAGCTATTGTGCTGAGTGGGATTAACTTTAAAAAGTACAGGTGTTTTTAATAGCCATTGAGGATACAATGGAAAATCATGTACATGTATTTATAAAGGTTTGAAATTATTTTCAGATAATATTTATTTTATTATTTTCAGATATTACCAGGAAATAGGGTAACTTCAGTATTTCTGGACTATACACAGATTTTTAAATTACTTTGAATTGTAAAGATTTTTATGCTCAAACACGCATGAGTTAAAGATATAAAAAAAATCCAATAGCACTCACATTACTTATATGACAAAAGGCTATTTTTTTTATTATTTTCTTAAAAAAAAAAAAAAAAAAAAAAACACAGTAAAAAAGCACACTTACATAAACTTCATTAACAGTTTTCCATGGCCTATTGCTTTCAGTGCACACTCATCTACAAAACCAATGCTGAATACTCGACATCTAAATCTCAAATAGCTTATTGTTACCAGTAAGCAAATTTATTCTGATTGCTTTCACAAAGCAATATAAAATCTGTTCCTTACTCTTTTCTGAAAATGTGCACGCACTCCAACCAAACTGCAACTATTTTCTTATAAATTCATACAAATACATTCTGTACCTGGGGTTCATAAGAACCCCAAGACTGCACCATTCCTCAGTGAAAAGATAAAATCCACAGGTTTGACTTGGAGGAACACATTCAGGTAGCACAACCCAGAGATGGAGAGAGACATTTATTTAAGCTTCAAGTGCACTGAAAAGAGACCATATTCCCTGAAAAGAAGCATCTGCTTTGAATTTCTTAAATGTTTGTCTTAGACAAATATTCCAGGACACATCTATAAACCGTGTGCTGACAGCACGTGGGCGACAGTTGCCTAAGGAGGATTATTTGCAATTCCAGTCATTAGAAATTGCAGGCGTGACATTTTGCTGTTCCATGATTGTGCAGTCACGCACAGGATGCTTAAATAACCTGCAGAAATATCCACACATGAATACTGATCTCAGTTAAATGCACCTGGTTTCTTTTCGTTTGTGCAAAAAGGCTTTTAATTTAGCAGTCAGAAATTGCCATCCTGCACCAAAGTCTCATTTGTCAGCTAGAAACAGCTGAACACCTCCTGCCTGTACCTCCCGCTTTCAGTCTTACCAACTCCAGTGCAGTTTCTTCATCCCTCAGTTTGCAGACAGGTATTTTGCACAGACATTATAAAACATCCACAGCGACAAACTGCTACCACGCTTGACCATGAAACAACAGCCAGTGGGCCCACACACCGGAGCTTCTGAATTGGACCACTAAGCCGGAACATGGGCTCCAGCCGCAGCTTACCTCATGGCCACATTTTCTGTGGTGCATAAGCGTGTCTGTTCACACCCAAAGCAGGTGGCTCTGAGCAAGGTGCCATTCAGCATGGGGCAAAGCTGTGCATGGGAAGTCACAGCTGCCTCCACCTCCCCTCTAGAGGAACAGGAATCACACTGGGCTGCTCCCTACCTAGGTGATCTGCACCCTCACCTCTTCTGGCTCACCAAGAGCTGGCTTCACTAGGAGGAGTTGTGGCCTTGGCTCTGTAACTTCACTCTGCCTTCGCATGCTGCAAGGTGCAGGAGGTCCACCTCCAAGATGACTATATACAGTACAGTGCTTACCAAAACACAACCTTGGGGTCATGATCCCACTGCTTTATTTAAGATATTCCGTACTGCGGTTGTTAATCATGCATTTAGTTAATAAAGCCAAAGAAATATTGAGAACTTAGAAAAAGGTTTATACTTTTGCACTCATTCCATTTTGAAAATCTTCCACAGCAATGACCATGACGCAGACTCAGTTTTACTTCATGCAAAATAATTTGCTAGAACATGATGCTACTGAAGCAACAGCTTTATACCAGCTTAACATTAATAGCTTCAAAAATAAAACTCCAAAGTGAAATTGCTCTGCGTTACTTGGCGCCTGCAGTGAATCAAAAACCTTCAACTTTAAAAACATTCTTTATGTTCATATAGGAAATGCCATAGAACAAACCTTCCATATTACCCCGCAGTGAGCCCAGAGGAACATCTCCTGCACAGGCTGCACATCTCTTTCACTCAAATTTGGATATTCTTCCATGTACATGCCTGCCTGACTGCATGCTGGATTTAGCCCTCTGAAACCACAACATTCTTAATGCTCTGTGTCTGGAGTGAATCCAACCTGGATCCACAGAGCTACTTTCTCCGTTCAGTTTTAAATCATTAAAATAGAGAGCATTATTCTGGCTGATCCTCTTTGAACAATTCTCAGAAGAAATGCTGGTAATATTTTGCCTTCAACTCAAATACCTATTTTTCATGCCTGTTTGCCCACATATATAAATAAATTATGCTTTCTAGTTTTATGTTGCTGTAAAATTACTAATCCATCAATAATACATGCCCTAAGAACAGACTTAACACTGAAATCCTGCTTGGACCCACAGTTTCTCACAGTGATCAAAAAATCAAACAAATCAAGAATGTATAAGAACAGGGTGAGCCCACACTATGAATACCATCATAAACGCTCCTAGGATTCATGGCGTCTGAGCACTTTTGGAGTCAACAGCAATTTGGAACCTTTTATGAATGTTTAATTGCTTTTTGAGCTTTTATAAATAGAAAGGAGGAAGAGCGAATAAGGGGATGTGTCCCAGAAGTGCTAGAACGATTTGGAAAAAGCAATAAATCCAGTTTGTAAAGTAGAAATTGTCAAATGTAAAGAAAAAAAGTTAGGATTCACTGGCACTAGAAATATTGGCACTAAAAAAGTGATTTAAGAAAAATACAAAGCTGGGCAATCATTTAGTGAAAACTCACTCCCAGTTCTATAAAAAGAAGAGCATTAAGTTAAAAGATAATAGCTCTGAGGTTTAACGAACAGCCTTTACAGCCTTGCTGAGGTCTGGACAATAGCAAATACAAAGAGCAATGGGGAACAGGTTGGACGAATACACACATACAGTGCAGAGCAGGGGTAGCCCTGGCTTGATCATTAGCTATAGTATGTTAATGACTAAAAGAAATGGATACCGAAACTGACTAGTTGACAACAACAACAAAAATACTACCAAGGCATTCATCAGTACAAAGCCAGTAACATTTGAATTTACAATTTGGCTCCTTAGAATTTGATCAAGAAGCCCAGATCTCCAAAATATGTTTTTATCACAATAAATCACTGTAATAAATGATGTTTTAAACCATACATCCACATAAACTGAAAACATCTACCCAGAAGTTCCTAGATGCAGTAAGCTCTAAGACATACTCAACCTATAATATTTCTTGCGGCTTACTGCCACTGCCTGAGGGATGTCAGAAATGTATTCAGTGAAGGCAAGAGGCAGTGAACAAGCTGTCCCTCCTGCTTGCAGGGCTAGAGCAGTGCCACACCATGGTATTCTCACAGCAAAGAGGAGACAGTGGTCAAGGCGCACCAAGATACTAATACTGAAAACAGGTTTTCATTTTACTTACTAAAGTTTCTGTAGGCCTAAAAGAAACCATCTTTTGCTCTTTTGTTAACCTTTGCTGACAAATATCATCACTAAGATCTACAATCACAGCTGCAAAATAGGAGGAGATTGATCTAACATACTTTCAAGAAAGGACAAAAAAACCTACCTTTGAAAGGCAAGTCTATAAAGATATGTTTCCAGAGTCTCTTTCTGGCTTGTTCTGATACTCTGCTGGATTTAGGCCTTAAGCACTCCTTAGTTCTCATTGAGAGTCTTGCATAAGTAAAGCACCAGAGCCTGATTAATTAAATGAGTTCAGCATTAAGAGTACTAAGAGTCTCTTGGTGGAAGCAGATTCAGGATAGACTTTCACACTTCATCTTAAAAACCAGGTAATTATAAATCTTGGCAGATTCAAAGGACAAAGCAATGACTGCTTTTACAATAGTAAGTGGCTTGAACTAGCACAAAAATAACAGCTTCGGGATACAACAAAGCCTACCTGAGGTTAACATGAAGTCTTGCTTTTCTCAGCTCAAATTCTAGCACACACTAAAACCTTAGAACATGACCAAATCCATTTATGGAAAGCCTGATGAGATAAATGCTGCTAAGCTGAAAAATCAATAAAAATAAATGAGAGCTGTGCCAGAAAAAAATAGTTTGCCTTGAACATACAACCAAAAGAAAGAAACATACAACCAATAAGAAACTGAACCAGCTGCATCAGTCCTGCATCATTACACAGCTCTTTTTGTGAGTTCATCAACACTTCAAAGGCAGATGAAATGCCAGGGGAGAATGGGAAACACTTCGGTGGTCAGTGGAATGAGATCCAGCATCATCAGTATTAAATTGCTTGTGTCTCTATCCCGATTTCAAAACCCTTTCCATAATCAGTTGGGCTTGTCAGCACGTTGTCTTTTTCAACAAAGATTTAAGTTTTGCATGAATTTTACTGTATCATCACCCACAATTTCCTGAGGATTGTTAAAATCTCCAGAGGTTTCCGCACAGTAAGAGCACAGTAAGTTCAGAGTCAGCACAGAGCTCTGAATTCTAGCATTACTCCTATGCTGAGAAGCACCTTGCCATGCAAGCAGAAACTGGAAGAGGTTTAGAAGAGATGACTGACTCCTTGCTCTACCTTGATCTTACTCTTGTCAAGTGTTGTAATGGGCTGCTCAGAAAATTGGTGGAGTTCCCATTCCAGAAGGTATTTAAGAGATATGTGGACTTGGCAATAGGGAATATAGCTTAGTAATGGGACTTAGAAGGTCAGTTTGATGGCTGAATTTGATGATCATGAAGGTATTTTCCAACCTAGATGATTATACAACTCAAAACAATACAGACATTCCCAGTGGGACTGAGCTTGCAGAAAGGGATTTCAACACAAACAAAAAGTTCTGATATTGGAGAAAGCGTATCAATGTTTTCTGTGACTGAAAAATCACACAGCAAAGAAAATTAACCTTTCTGAATACTACAACAGAAAAAAGGAAGGGCTGCAAAGTGATAACTGCATAAAACCTTCAGAAAGGAATGGTAGTCTGAATAATGGTTCAGAACTTGGATCCAATTCTGAGGTCCACCTAAAAATGTCCAATGAGATTTTTGGCATGATCCTGTCCTAAAACATGGGGAACAGCTGTGGAAATCATGGCTACGGTAATAGGGACAGTCATGTCCTGGACAGCAGGCTTTGCAGAGGTAAGAGGTAGCCCCAAGTTCATTATAAGGAGCCTTCATCTTGGGTTATGAAAAAAATCCAGACGTTTGTATGGATGCGTAATATCTGCATAAAGATGCAAATAGTTCAAAATGTCATTTACAATTTTTTATTTGTTTTCTATCTGTTTGAATGGGTTGCTCTGGATGTCACCATCACCAGTAGAACAGGAAAAGCTGAATCAGGAATGCGTTACAGGCTGGGCTGCAGCTCTATGTTAAAATGCTAAGAAGGAACCAGCTGCCTTTTGACTTTAAATAAAATAAGCACACCTTTGTAATGAGGCAGCCAAAACAATACTCTCCCTAAAATACATGTCAGTAACCACCAAAAACAAAAGCTTATGCAAAATCCATATGAACAAAACTGTGTATCAGTAGATATTCTTGCTGTACCTTTCAAGAATGACTATTTTTATTTTGCTTCTTGAGTTACTGTTTGCTTAATGAAGATGGTTGTTAGTAAATACAGTAACTCTTAATTTTGAGCACTTCTCTAAGTTTAATCATAGAGTCGTAGAATGGTTTGAGCTGGAAGGGGCCTTAAAGATGTCAAAATCTAGTTCCAGCACCTCTGCTTTGGAAAGGGTTGCCATCTACTAGATCAGGTTCTGCCTTCCAACCAGGCCTTGAATACTTCCAGGGATGGGCGTTCACAATATTGAAAGCAATAATTTTCATGGGAAACTGTAGGGTGTTCGGATATAGAAGGAGAAAAACTTCAAAGAGAAAAGGTATTAAGAGAGAAGCTGACGTTCTGAAGCCAAGACAAGGTCCAGCAGGCAAGGAGGGCACAGCTCCCTGCTGAAACCAGTTGACTTTGCATACAAAGGACACTAAAGCATTCTATAAGTGAGGTCCAACTACCCCACGTCTTTGCCCAGAGCCAGTAATCATTTTAAATATGACTTCTAGCCTAGCAAGTAGAATGCATTTAAAACTAAATGACACAGGGGAATTTAAGCTGAAAAAACAGCACAGAGAAATTGGAGCTGTCCTAGCATGGTTTTTACTTTGAAGCTTATCTGTAGTCAGCACAGTCAATGCCATTCAGGTGCTATGTTTGCTGACAGCACTGTACAGGAAAAAAAGGAACAATCACATCCTGAAATTTTGCTTGTTATTTCACTCACTGGAAAAGCTGAACTCCAGTTAGCAGTTTGGAGGTGAAAGAAATCACTGGTATTTCACTAGTCATCTACAGGGTAGTGGCACCTACACAGCATTAAAAATTTACCAGCATTGGACAGAATACGCCAGCAATTCTCAGCAATAAACTGATAAATGCTTCTGAAGAACAGCTTTTTCAAGGTCTAGATAAGCACAGAGATAAGCATAAGCTTTGATTCCTACAGATACACAAAAAGTAAAGCAAAAACTTAGGTAGAGCAGGAATGGGATACAATTCTGGAAAGGAAGGGAAAGCAGGTCATGTAAAGCTCTTTCAAAGCAAATATCCAACTGAATTGGCTATGTAATTACTGATGTACTTCTTACTGCGGAGAGTTACACGTATCTGCCTTTTGTAAGCACTGCCCAAAGAACAGGGAGAAAAAGATTGCGAAAGAAATGTAAGTACAAAATGATACTGAAATGAGCTTTGTGAAGAATTCCCACTCTGTAGGCCATTTGCTGTCACCTGAGCCCCGTTTCTTCTCCCCACCACATCTGCAACCAAAGCATAAAGAACAGGGGATGTCAATCCCATGAGTTCGATTCATATGAATTCCACAAGATGCAGACACACCCATGCAGTTTCATGCTTGCAGCATCACTGCTGTACCTTTCTAGATGAAAACCCAGACCTCCTGCAAACTATCCAAACTGCTAACACAGCTTTTGGCCAGATAATTGCCTGCTTAAAAGCAGCCCCCAGGCCTAGAAAGCAAACCACCTTTATTCACGCTTAATATATTCTGGAGCTCCAGAGACCATTTTCCACCACATTTTAAATATTTTTCCCACTTGCAGTTTCTTACCTGAAGAGTTTTGACTTTTCCTAAAACGTTCTCTTGTGACATTGCTTGGATGGCCTGTTCACTCTCTGTTCTCCCATCAGGTATAAAAATACTGTCATGGGAAAAAGCTCGACTGCCCATAGAATAATGGGAAGACCTGGAAAACAGTTAAAAAGTACAGCAATTAATTTATGAGAGCATCCCTTCATATCATAACTGTGTTGCTGCATAGATTTTTCCTCCCTTCTCTACATGAAGGCTTCGACCATTCTCAGAAGAGAGGTCCAAATCTCTGTTACCAAAAGGCTGATGATTCCTTCTCATACATTTTCCCTCCTTGGGAGGATGTAAAGTAGGATGGCTTTTAATAGAAATGCTGAAAGGTTAAATCAATTTTCCTTAGGAGCTTCAGATCTAAACACTACTTTTGGGATACAGAGTAGTTTATGATGATGCATACATTCAAAAAGAAAGACAGGAGGTCCAAAGTAAAGGTAGGACTAACACAGGCAGAGGTAATACACTGTACTAGTCTACTTTTAAAGAACAACCTTGTCACATTCATTACTTAACCATTTCTATCACCTTGAGTAATCACACTGACAATAAAATGTTATTAAACTGATATGAAGGATATCAGACCATTCCACATGTGTTTTATTAGCAACAAACAGAGAGATGGCCATATGTTACTGTTAAACTAGACACAGTTGCAAAGGTAAGAAGTGCACCAGGGACAACCTTCTTACATGCCTGCTGTAAACCAACGGGAAAGAGATTAAACCAAAAGGTTCTCCAGGAAAACTGAGAATTAAAAATAATTAAAAAAAAAAAGTTTGTGAGAGTTCCTAAACCTTTCAATTTAATAACCTGTTTTCAACTCCACTGAATCCATTTCAGCAAACTTACAAACTTTGGGGAAAAAAACAAAACCACCGAACAACTTTTTTACACCAATCTAACCAACATAACCTTCTAGATGTAGTAGAGAACAACATAAACAAATTAAAAACAATATAAAGCAAAAGCAAGGAAGGCAGATCCTTCTGGAGAGAGGTAAGTAAAAAGACAAAAAAAAAAAATTAAACCCTCATATGCTTAAGAAAAACCATATCCTCTCTTTTTCTCCCTCTAAAAATGTGCTGGTTTAATAGCACACAGCACAGTCCTATTCATGTATTATGGGATGTATTCAACTTGTTGATTTGTGTTTTGTCCCTTAGGATATGGCCATCATTTTTTTAAATAATAATCATAACATTTTCTCACAAGTAGAAACACTACAAAAGTTTAAAATAACACTGATTATGTTATGTAGGATGCTCTAAAAGTAATGCCTCCTATTTATTTCCATGAAAAATACAATTGATACAAAGAGAACAATTACATTACTTGATAGAGCAAATTCTCAGCTACAAAATACCATTTTACAACACAATCATCACCAAGGCTATCTATTTTCACCAGCCTCAAACAAGATCCTGCACACCTCACTGGTAAAAATCAGCACCAGTAAAGGCAACTCACTGTCACTACCACTACTGCTGAAACCCACCACCCACCTCCTCACTGTGCTCACATCCACTGCCTGGTCTCCCTAAACGTCTGGGAAGTACCAATGAATGGTAGTGGGTGCCACTGTTTTCCACGTGGAGGAATTCAGAGACATACCTTTACTTCACATGCACTTCTACATGAGAAGCCATCTTGTCAGACTGCCCCTCTGCTGCCATCTGTCACACAGCGACGGAATGTAACTGAATACTGGTGAGATATCAGTCATATCACCAACATCCACCTCACAGATCAAGATAAAATAGGAGGGCATTACTTGCACAGTAGCCTTTGCATAAGGTATTTGTGATGTTTATTACAAGATTTTGTACAGGTTGCCTGAAAATAACAGGAAAATGGCCTCCCACAACTTCTCTGTTTTTTATATATAGAATATATCTGTGTTCATTAAATATATCATCCAAGCTTTTGGGATGAACACATACAGAGCTCACTGTATCAGTCCACTTTGCGTTTAAGCACAGAAAAACTGGAAAACTATTTTTTTTAATCCAAGATTACTATTTGAACAACATGCTTCATTTGAAATAAATTAGCGTGCAATCAAGCAAAGAGTTGTTTGATATTCCACAGCATTTTTAGCCATCAAAGAGGGGAGCATTTAACTGATGCTATACACTATTCTAGATTTTTTTTAAAATAGAAGCCTCAACTTGATTGCCTTTGGCTGCCAAGGGTAATATGCCTTCTTTTAGAAACCTTCTATTAGAGAAACCATAAAAGTATATTTTTAAACTCTCTTCCAAAAGGGGTTCTGTACTGAATCATCGTGACTCAGTCTGTACACAGAGCTGTGGTGGAACTGTGTGGCTTTGGAAGATATGACAGAATGCTACCTTCCTTGGCCATTCAAGCACCAGACCACGAACTATAGTTTCAGAAATGTCCCCTAAATGGAAACAAAAATCACAGCAGGTCTGGCTTGCAAAATGAGGGTTGTGAAAGCTTTTTTTTTTTATTTAATCATTCAGATGAGTTTGAACTAAAAGCTCCAGCATTACATTCAACAAAGGTAATACAAAACTCTTTGTACTCACAGACCTTTGCCTGTGACCAAAATCAATGGCAAAATTTGACAAATCAGCCCATGCTAATCACTCCTTCATTTGAATATTGATTGGTTGAATATGTGAAATGGCAGCAAGTGCAGAAGGCAAGGACAGCGACTTCTGAATTTACAGTTCAAATTTTACCTTTGAGCCGAGACATCTGCTGAAGACGTACAAATACACTACGCTCCAAAGAGGATCCTCTCTCACAGATTCTTCTAGCAATTACGTGGTTCAGACACAGCTTTGCCTCACACTTATTCATTGTGCCCATGGCACTGATGTTCCCTTTACACAGAATTTTTGTTGCTGTACAAGTAACATCAAATGTTGCACGTTTACCCCCATTCTTTTGTTCATCACAATTAGTAGACAATGGCTGCAATATTAAGGCACCAAAGAGTCCAGTGATTTGTTTGCCAATGGTGCTTGACCTTACTAATGTATCTGTTAATATCTAAGAGGGGAAAAGTTGCCAGACTGCAACTTTTGAACCAAAGAGGGTTCATTAGCAGTTCAAATCCCAAAGCTTCATTTATCCAGGAGCAGGAACTGCCAACTACAGGAAGTTTCCAGTAATGTGAACCCCCAAAATGGAAAAGAAGACAGACTGTTGAGGTCAGTGCCAGTAGACTGTGTGGCTCACAACTGTGGGCACACCATTTCCTTGTTCTGCTGAGGAAACCCTTGGTGGTCAGATCTCACTACTGCCTGTGAGCTCATCCACAAAAAAAAAATCTCCTGTTGGTGACACACAATACACTGAGATTTGGCTATATGCAAATCTGTGTTTATGACTAGCATGATCAGACTTAGTAAAACGTCACTGAAAGCCTCCTTTGGGACACCAGATCACGTGAAAGAGCTTGGGAACTTTGTGACCTGCAATGTTGAACATTAAGACAAAAAGTCTCAGTAGCCTATCTCTGACAAGTGGCCACACTGGCTGGTTAGGACCATGCTGAGCATCTACGACATCTCTCTGATATTCTCCCATACACCCACTGCTTTAATTTCAGGCCCCGCCTTATTACAAGATGAAGAACAAAAACGACATTGCAGAGCTGAGGACAAGCCTGCATTTTGAAAACTTCTGTTTTTTAACTTCCTACCAAAACAAACATAATAATAATGGTCAGAACGTGAAACATTTGCATGAAACCCTGCACGGAATTAACCTGGGACCTCTCTCTCCTGTATCCCCTCAAAACGTGCTTCAGATACACATGCCATTTCAGCACTGCATGACTGAGACATTCTGAAAGCCCCATGTCCAGTACCCACTAAAAATGGTTTAACTTTTCTTCTTAAACATCTTTCTAGGCTAAAGTACACCAGAAAAAGCATATTCAGGCTTTGTAGTAACTTTGTTTCTTTTACAGGTGAGTTTAAAAAGCATTTAAGGCGATCTCTGGACTATTTGAATTTTACTCATCTTACTCATTTGGATCCTTTCAAGTCTCTCCAGCTGTGAGTCTGACAGATTATATTACAAAGGTTCTTTTTCCACCCTGTTTTTCACTCTCCTTGTGTTCTACTTTTAGAAAGACTGAATTTCTTTCAAGTCATAACACAGTAGGAATAATTGATTCTCCTTTATTTCTACTACCGTTCTTACAGCTGAAGATTTTCTCAGAAACCTTTACACAGTAGAATCCTCCCAGTTCACATCTACAGACTGTTTCAGAAAACCCTCTCCTCAATTAAAGGGCATGTGAGCACCAGGAACAGCTTTGGATAGATTCAAGGTGTGCCAGAGAAATGGGTTACAGATGTAACCATGGCTGAAGTTGTGGCTCAGGCCTAGGAAAACATCAGCACCAATTGCTAAGTATTTCTGCAGGTAATGTTGACAATGACACTTCAGAGGCTGCGCTCAAAGTAATTGAATCGTAATGTGACTCACTTCTGGAAACCTGACTGAATTAAATGAATTATGGATGTGCTACTCCAAAACGCACAGCCCTTAGAGCAAACCCTTAAAGATCTCTGAAGATGTGTTGCTACCCAAGTATTCTGTTCCAGTTTCACTTTCAGTACACAAATTTTCAAAATTATTATTTTTTTTTTTTTTACAGTTGGTGCAAAGCTAAATTTAAATTCCATGAATTCTCAGAGCTTTCTTTGCTCTACTTTCATCTCAGTATAGATCCCTGAATACAAGAACAATTTTTTTTCTCAGAAAAAAAATAAGAACAAGAGCAAACAGGAATATTGTTCTTTGGATCCCCATCAGTCATCCATGACTACACACTGTGTCTGTATAGCATGGGGCCTTTTATCAGCTCTAGCTAGTCCATATTATAAATGGGTGACGTATTACCCTTTCTTTCCTTATCCTCCTTCCCACGTGCTCCTGTCACTTCTTTTATGCCTGCTTAATGGTTCACGTGAAACAGCTGAGGGAACTTATTTAGGTAAATAACTAACTTGGAAAAAATAAAACCCACATCTTCCTGGTCTGGCTGAGAGGAGACTGGCATGAGCACCTGTGTCAGCTGCAGGAGAGGGCTCAAACACACATCCAGAGAGC